TCTTAGATGGAAGATTAAATAGAAGTCTTGGTTTTTTTTTAACCGGCTGAGATGATTCATGTAACGCATTAGCTGTGAACAAATTAGGAAGAAACGGCTAAAGCTTGATCCTCTACTCTAATAAGAGCAGATAAAGTCTGACATTAATATGGAGATATGGAATGAGCTCATAGCCTCACGCTGGCTCTAATGACAATCAAACAGCTGCTGCCACAACTCATTCGACAGGAATTCAGTCAGCAGAATAGATGGCTCTTTTGTGAAGACACTTTAGGGCGCCAAGTTTTTCTTTTTTCTCTTTTTTTTCCTCTTTTCCCTCTACCCTGAAGTCAGTATCTACAAAGTGGGCTTGATCAGTGAATCATCTGTGAATTCTGTACATCTGGTAAGAGTTTGGGAATCTGGAGAAGATGTTTGGGGGAGAAAAAAAAGTGTGACTTGGAAAGAGTGAGAGGTACTGCGCAAGTGAAGCAGCTTCACCCCAGAAAACAGACAGCCCTTCGAGACACAAGGGGAGATTGGAGTGCTAACTTGGGCCAGATTTTTTTTTGGCCTCTGTACTTTCTGATACTGTAGAAAACAGCATCAACTTAAATCCCAAAACAACCACAAATTCATGTGTAATCATTATTACCATGGGTAATTATTGTTCTGCTAATAAAATAAACATCACTGGGGAAGGAAATTAACGAATGAAAAACTGTCTGTCTTTTTCTTCACTTTGAAGTTAAGAGCATTAGGCCAGACTACTAGACAGGAGTACAACAATACAGTGTTTATGTTATTCTTCGAGATTAATTTGGGACACTCATTTCCCTGTACTCGGAATGATCTAGCATGGTGCCATTTGTAAAACATTACACTGTTATCACACTAGACGGCAGGAGCATGCTCCTGCATTAAACCCTTGGTTTGCCTGCTGTGCAGACGGCATCAACGGGTTTGTGCTTCTCATATGGAGTGCCCAGTCTCGGGTCTGTGGGCCCAGCCGTGGGTTCAAGCAGTGCCTCGGGCTGCTGCAGAAACTTTCCCCAACCTCGTCCTGGTTTGTTTGGAGTGCGCTGCTTCATCTCCTGCTATAACCCCAAAGCGGCAACACTCACAACGGGGCTGCACATGGCCCCAAGATGTGCCTGCATCGGAAAACTTCAGAGTCACGCTCCCTGTCGGGCTGATTTCAAAGGCAGGAGCAGCCTCTTTGAGTTATGTGTGTGGGGGCAGTGAGTATCTGTAATGCAAATGGTAAAATATGCTGAGCCCATCAGCACTACATCTCTGTGATCTTGCACCCAAGTTCTCCTTGCCCCCCCTTCCAAGGATCTGGTATTTACTGTGTTTCTTTGCTCCGATTTTAACGAGTCAGATTTATCACTTTTATAGTAACGCTTGTCGGCCAGTTTATGCTTTTAACCTTGTCGAAACTGATAAGATACCGGCCCCACTTCTCATTCGCTGTATGACTTGTGTGTAAAATGGTGGCCGGGAGCTGGTGTTAGCTTTGTGTACACTCTCACTGCAGTTGCCGGGCTATAAACTGGCCTTTAATGACAGGAAGAGCAGCGTCGGTGTGTGTATGTGTGTTTGTGTGTCTGTGTGTCTGGCTCTCTGACACGCAGGTTATTATTTGACCAGTTTTACGATGCCATGAAGTCAACCACATTAAAGAGCTTTTGTCTCACAACTGGGCTACAGAAGGCTCATCCCTGACATCACTTCACACTTTGAGCGAGCAAAGTTCACACTGCATTTATCTACGATAGAAATGGGAAAAGATAATGATGATGTATCTCTGTATGTCTAAGTCCCTGCACTTTTCCTCCCTCCTCACATCTCCTCTCCCACACACAGGCTATGCGCTGACTTACAAGTGTAGTGTCATACGCTATGACATCACTCCACTACTCACAGGCTTCCTCTACTCCCACAGTACCCATAACGAAGCAATTTTTTAAAGCTTTTTAATGAGTTTTATGTGTCACATCGGCTACACAGTCCAGAAGTGATGGTCTTCTGCAGGCGCTAGGCTCCATTTTTCTTTCTAAGACACCTGCTCTATGAAGCAGGCCTTTCATGAGTTTATCTTGCTTGCTTTTGAAGCGTTCCTTCCCAGGTATACTTGGATTGAGTCAAACCTTCCAACTAGTTGTTAAGGCGACCAGCTTAGGATGTTGTCAATTGAAGTATGTCTGTTGCTGTTTCATAAAGAACCTTTGATATGTTCCATCTTTAAGTGTTTTAGGGTACTGGGCCAAGTTGACTTGGTGGGGTTGTTGTGAGCAAAAACTAAAATTTTTAGGTGCAATGCACTAGAGACGGCAGAGTGAAAGTACATCCGAGTAACTAAAGAGGCAGCAGATTGTATTGTTCAGTTATTTATTTGGAGGATAAAATAATATTTAATAATTGAAAAAGCTGTTCCTCCACATAAACTCGCCCACGCACACCAAAGGACTCAAAATCTGAGGGAAAACATTGGTAGACTGTGTGATGAATGTTAATTGTGCCCCTTTTTGATTATCCAAAATGCTTTACTGGCATCAGCACATTAATCAGAACAGATTGAAGTCATTGCGAAAATTAGCATTTGATTCAACGTTTAGATTTTCCCACACTTTTTTTGGCTAAGTACCTGGCTGAGAGTGCTTTTGAGTGTGATCCTGCTGACTAATGTCAAACAGTCCTGCCCATTATGAAGTAGTTGTACCACACAATGGAATGCAGTGTTTGAACCACTCTCAATTTTTTTTAAGGTAAATTGCAGTAGTGTTTGCCATGTTTAATAAAACACAGCTACACTTCGTTTTCCAGCTGGTTGAACTATACAGCATAAACTTGCAGAGCTTTATGGAACGCTAAACCCAGTTTAGCATTTGAGAGGATATTTGGATAGTTCTTTTTTTTTTCTTCTTCTTCTGAGCATGTTTGTTTCTGTTAGTGTTGGCGTCTGCATCTCTCCACTCGCGGAGCAGTCGAAAACTCAAAGACTTGTATTTTTCTTACCCGATGCAGCAAATTCTTTCAGAAACTGCATGAGTGCAAGGTCACTTTCTGGAAAGCATTAACAATGCTTAAAGCTGGAGTCACATTCCCTCCTTCTTTCCTGCCATATGAGGGAGTGTGTGTGTGTGTGTGTGTGGTGGCGATGGGGGTTGGAGAGGGAGAGAACCCAGCCTTTATCATCACCATCGCCTCCTTTACAGTAGGTGTTAAAATACTGTGAAACTTATCTCATCTGATAGGCAAGAAAACAGATTTGTCTCAATGAAGTGGGAAGGAAAAGACGGAGTTGTGTAAATACCATAGGTGACTGAGGAAAAAAAGGCACAGGCGTGCTTGCACACACATAAAAGGCCAGTTCTGTTTGCTGCTGTGGCCTTTGGCACCAACCCGACAGGTTTACCCCCCAACCTCGACTTTGTTCCTTCATCCTGCTTTATCCTTCTCCTTATTTTAAACCTTGAGTATCATATCTGCAGTCAATTTTCCCTGCTTAATTCAATATTAAATATGAAAGTTAGAAATTCACAAAGCTCCATGATTGTGGCGTTTTTGGATAAATCTTTTACTTGCTTGTTATGCAGCATGGACTGCTGAAATTTCTTCTGCTATTTTGTGCCAAATGCAGGTTGATTAGAAACTACTGATAGCTTGTCCAGATGACGGCACTGCCTCTCATGCTGTCGGTGTTGGGTGTATCTTTGGCTCATTATACCTGCCTCTAGGCAAAGGCGATCAATGGGGACTCTGTGTGTGTGTTGTTTTTTTGGCTTCGTCATAACAAGGTAATTTCCTCCCGTTGCAGGGAACAATAATTTAGCGATCTAGGCCTGAATGGGAGGTGCCCCAGTAAATGATCATGACATAGACATGCATACACACCTCTCTGTCAGCCCCGAGGGCAGACACACGCTCTGCTATTATCTCGTCTCACACACACACTTTGAGAGAAAGAAATGGGGAAAAAGACTGTCATTATCTGCAATTGAGCACAGAAGACAAGAAAGGGAAATCTGTCAAGTGAGATGGCTATTGAGACTGATGGGCATAAATTGTTTAAGAGGAAGTGTTGTGAGCATGAAGTATGAAAATGGCAGGTTTTTTGTGTTTGTTTAGCTTCAAATTTATCTTTTAAAAAAATATATGTCGCTGTCCAGTCTGTGGGCTTTTAAGGCCACTGTGGGACAAGAGCAGAATGAGGAATGCGTTACATCAGGTAAAAGTGTCCCCAGACTCTGGGAACAAGTAGCCATCTCTCGGCAGGCCTGTGAAACATTCCTGGGCCGTCTCTCACGTCTGGACAGAGGGATGGAGGGGCGGGAGGCAGGCGGCTCGGAGCTGTGGGCTCCCTTTGTCTCGCCTAGCCTAGCCCCACCACGCAAACACAAACAGCGCTCTCACTGCGGCCTGCTCTGCCAACAGGCAGGCGACATGCCAGCTAGGCAGGAGGCAAGTGTGTGACACAGATAGCACTTGTCTACGTGAGATAAACTCGATTCATACGGCGTGGGAATCTCGGTGAAAAAGCAAAGGTGTGTTAGCTGTGTTTTGTTTTTTTTTACCTGCACTCTTAACCGCAGTAAGGCTGTGTCACTGGACAAATTGCTCACTAATAAGCTTCTGTACAAGTCAAGTGCCAGCTATTAAATACACCGTTAGCTGAAAGTGCAAATTGACTGCTGCAGATGAATGGCCTGTGGGTAATGTTTGGAAAGTGAGCCAGGAGAGAGATGCTCTGTATCGATGGTATCGATTCGGGCCCTCCTTGAAGGCTGGCGTAAATTTATGTACTGCAGTGTTTTCAGGCATACTTAATGCAGACAGATGAGGATGTTTGTCAAATGGGAAACATAATTGCTGCTATTGATTAGGATCCTTATTTAAAGTGCTGAAAAATGCCAAGGACAAAAGCAATAAAAGATGTGAAACACCATTGCCCTGCAGGTATTTCAAATAATTGTTGTTTCCTGTCCTGTAATGAGCAACTTTTTGTTTGTTTTCAGAAATCTCGGCTACAACAAACTGACTTCCATCAGTCCTGAAGCCTTTGCCAACCTTCCCAACTTGAGAGAGCTGTAAGTAGTCACCCGCAGAGCACTCATGGTTTCTGCTGACAGTCCCCTTAAAATCTCCTAAACCCTTTTCAGTAAATGTGTTTGGCCCTGTTGGATTGTCGCCAGAAGTGTCACCTGTTTTTTTTTTTTTGTTTGTTTGTTTTTTTTAAATAAAAAAATAAAAAATCAGTTACTTCATTCTGGCTAACTCCCATCTTTGCCGCGCCGCTTCTGAGCAGCATTCTCATATGTGTTCCCTTGAACTAAGTCCAATTGAGAATTAAGTGGTGGTTTTCTATATTAAGCCCTTTCCCCCACCACCTGATACTGTGGCCAACACTGGCCTTGTAAATATTTTATATGGTGAGGAGAGGGCTTGGTTTTGTGTCACTCAGCGCCAGTACACAAGGCACACACACACAGATACAGGAACGTACTGGTGATACACACACTGGTGACATCTTTGGCAGGCCAGCGGGCCAGTCATACGCTCCCGGACATCTGTTTTACTCCCATGTTATTTTCAGTTTTTAAAAGGATGACTTGCCACTTGCTGTGCAGCAGACGTGAAAAATCCTATATGTTGATTTATACGTGCTTTGACTGAAATGAGTTATAACAACCATATCTAAATATGTGTAGATATCTGTGCACACACATCCATCCATCCATCCATCCATCCATCCATCCATCCATCTATCTATCTATCTATCTGTCTATCTATCTGTCTATCTGTCTGTCTGTCTGTCTGTCTGTCTGTCTGTCTGTCTGTAGTCAATTTTCAAGGGTGCTCCTTTATCAGCGGTTTGCTTCTCTAACCCTCTTCTCTCTGTGTTTGTAACTTTCAGTCGGCTAGACCACAATGAGCTGACCTCCATACCAGATTTAGGACAGGCTGCATCCAAGATTGTGTCCCTCTACCTGTGAGTATTACTACACTTACTGATTAACATGGCACCAGAAGATCTGTATCCAAAAGAGAGACCTTTCCCTTGTAGCCTGTGTGTGAGGTGCCCCTGTGTGTTCACAGCTGCAACACACACACATGCCCAGACTCACAAACAGTGACAACAACAAAGAGAGTTAAACGTTAGAGAGTGCGGTCACACTCACGTCTGAAAGGGCACAGCAAATATTGCTCTTTTAGTAATTTTAACAGATTGATGAAGCCAGCCATGCCTATGTATCCCATGTCTGCAGAGGGCTTCTGTTACTGTATTCTTAGGTCAGTTGCCTCACTGGCGTGCTTTTAAATAGTCTGTTGACATATGTTGAGAAAGAATAGGCCTTTGCATCTCATAAGTAATGTTGAATTCATGTGAAGGTAGCCACAAATGTGACTCGACTGCATTTAAATTAGCTGGTGTCAGTACGAATTTCTGTCTTCACAGATTAGCATGTGATGGAGTGAGCGACCAGTCCTTTTACCTTTCTATGTGGGCTTGTCTGCAGTGAGTGGTGCTGGCTGTTTGGAGTGTCAGCTCGTATATAGTTCTAAGTCGTTGCTCCCAGTTGTGAAATTGTGGCGGGGCTGCGCTGGCATCTTGCTGCATATTTACAGCCGTATTTGGAAAGGGCGTGGGTGCGCTTGTGTTTGTCACAAACGGTTTTTTTGCAATGGAAGGAAATTGATGAAGTGGGGGGTAATTCAGTAACTTTATTCATGCTGCTAAAAGATGGCGAAAGCAGTGATGATTCAAGCCCACAGAAATATGTGATCTTTTTATTTTTAATGTTGTTCATAATAAGATAAAGTTAATGCAATGCAAAGTAATTGAAGGAAATAAAAGAGTTCTGACACCTTGTTTTCTCAGGGTGTTACCTAAAGCAACTCATAATGCAAGAGACAAAGGTTTTTAAAAAACCGGTATAAACTTCAACAAAGGTAGTGATTAGTCACAAAGTGCAACAGTTTCCCTGAACGTTTGTTAACAAATAGAAATAATCAATATTCTGAGGATGTTTCTCTTCGTGAGTGCTGAGCAGCGGTGGCCTCTCTGCACATGCTCCACACATGTGCAGAGCATGTGACAAATGCAGCGCCTAGCCCCTCAGCTCAGGGTACGGGGGCGGGGCTTGCCAAAAGGGGTTCGATAACAGCAAGGAAAAATATGCCATTATTGTCCTAAATTGCTTGTGTTTTAGTTAATTAAAAAATTATATATATGTATACAATAACAGTAATGGAACCAACAAAACGAGCTGAACTACGTAATTTACTGTGCAAATATAAATGTAGCTGCAGTGCACTGCTTCCCGACACCTCCGATTGGGGTCAACAAGGCAAATAAATGTGGGTAGTGACGCTGGCCTGTGAATGGATATGGCAGCGTTGTGGTTATTGCGGTATCCACAAACATTCTCACAACTCGCTCAGCCTGAAACGAGCAAGTTAATCGGCCATCGTCGAGTGCTAACCATTAGCTTCACTCTGTATTTTCTTTCACACTTTGCTGGCATCCAGGCGGGCTGCATGGTAGTAAAGTACACAGCTGCTGGTTCCTATTACATTGGTCATCGACATATCAGATTCAGCGGGGATCTTTGTGGGAGTCACACGTCCGCCTCTCCCTGTGTGTCATCTGCCTGCTTCTCAGAATTTATCGTGATGCACTGATGTGGTCAGAATATTACTGTAAGCTGTGGACAGTTGGTAAGGGAAGCATCTGTGGTTTGATTATTCAACTCTAACAGATGTCTGTTGACGTGTATCAGAAGTTTGACCTTCTGTTATTGTGTGTCATGGTTTGTTTGTTTGTTTGGGGGTTTTTTTGGTCTGTATCTTTAAGTTTTAGCACAGTCTCATGTTCACTCTGCCTCTGATATAAAACAGACTGGAGCAAGTTCACCTTTACTTGCACAAACTGTGTCCAGTTGCAGGCCCTGCAAATGATTGGGGTGTCTTTTTTTGGGTCTGACTTGCAGCCTGTTGCTAGGGGAAAGGCCAGTAGTGCTGATGGGAGTGGAGGCTGGTGGGAGGGTCCGATTTTTACTAAGCCACGCAGCTGAAGTGAAGGCCCACCGAAGCACTTGCAGCTGCAGCTGTCAGTCACATAGCTTACAGTAAAATGGGTGAGGGTAGGGAAGGGGAGGAAGGATGAGAAATCAGGGAGGTAGTAATAGATCGTAGTATCAGAGCAGGATGACACCATCATATGTCGAAAGAGGAATGGTTAAAGGAGAAGTAGTGGATGAGGCAGCAGGAAGGGTGCAGAAAAGAAAGGAAAAAGGAAGTGAGAAGTGATCTTGGGTTCAGTGTCATTCCCAAAAGTAAATCCAATGTGCTTTAACACACCAACTAAGTCCTCTGCAGTGTGTGTGTGTGTGTGTGTGTGTGTGTGTTCGCACGCGTTCGCGCGCATGCACCTTGGCAGACGCAGCAGCTCGGGCTGCTGGGCGGTGTTCCTGTGCTGTTGGTTGGAGATCGTCCGGAATGTAGTCTGACTAGAAGTTTGTGTGAGACAGTGGCTTGCATAAACATACAAACACCCAGAGAAGCAAATGGATAGAGAATCTGTCTTCAGCCGCTCATCAAACAGTAAACTCTCCAAAAGCCCAAGAGCATTTTATATGTGGTTGCTACTGACTGACAGGCTGACTCCCTCCGAGTCTTCTAGTCTATCGAATGACTTGTTGCAGACAAGGTATGCAGTCATGAATAAAAGGATCTATCCAGAAGGTGTCTTGACACAGAACCTGAAATAAATGGTGAGCTCTAGAAGGGCTGGGCGATATATCTTTTTTTTTTTTTTAAATATCGATATATTTTCATACGAGATATAAGATGTGACAATATCGTTTATATCGATATAGTATATGTTACGTTATAATTATACTTGTGGAGCCGCAAGTTTGCCTCTCTTTCGTCCACTTTTGTCTCTACGCAACGTTACTCGGCCTCGCCTCTCCTTCACTGAACACAACTTCCCTCCCCCATAGCTTCACCTGCAGGCAATGACAAGATGAACACGGCAAATCTCTGTTAACGAGTTACGCGGATCGCCCGGTGCGTGGGGCTGGATGGCGTCAACGTGTTAGCGAGCTAACCGCGCTAACGACCTAAAATCCTTTCATTTTCTCAAAAATCGATAGTGCGCCTTATGTGGTACACGGCGCTCAGCAATCTGTCAAAAAATGTTTTAGTACGACTTTGGTAAGCTATGGAGCTGCACCGCTTGATGGATTGTCGGAGCATTACGGCTACCGTAGTCTGGAGCCTCGCTGAGTGCACGTACTGTGCTTCAACGTAATATTACCGTATTGTGTGTGTATAAGGGCCATAAATGGCACCTGTTAAGAGACATGGTTACAAAGGCTATGTCCACACGTACCCGGGTATTTTTGAAAATGCAGATTTTTCTATGCGTTTGCACCTTTCGTCCACATGTAAACAGCGTTTTCAGTCACTGAAAACCGAGATTTTTAAAAACGCCTGTGGACGGGATTATTATTTTTTATTTTTTAAAACAAAAACGGAAAATCTCTGTTTTCAAAAATACCCGTGTACGTGTGGACGTAGCCAAAGAGGATTTCAAACTCAAGGCTGCCAGCCACGCAGTAGAACTTGGGAATAGAGCAGCTGTGAAATCTGTCTGTCTTTGTTATTATGCTCAGCGTCTTTTAGTTTACATTTTGACTGCACAATTGTGAGCTTTTTGTTATGCACAAAAACAACATTGCTTTCTTTTATTTATGGAGAATTATTATTTAATAAATGCTGATAATTTATTTTTGAGTAATTTCTTCATGTACATCTACGGTGTATGTTAATAAGTGCCTGTGTGACATCTGGGACACAGCTTTGACTAAGAACTCTCTTTTTGTTCTTACCTTATGTCTTTAAAAAAATATCGAGATATATACCGTATATCGCCATCCAGCTAAAAAATATCGAGATATGAATTTTGGGTCATATCGCCCAGCCCTAGCTCCTAGGATTTTTGGCATTATAAATTTCTGCCAAATGAAGAGCAATAATTGCAAAAATGAACACTTGTGGGGTTATTTTTTGTACATTCATTTTTCACCTTCACTGGAAGGTGAAGAACGAAACTGCTGACTGATTCATGTGGGTGTGCAATATACAAAATGAAAAACAAGTACATCAGCCTGGCTTCTACGGAAATAATAGGAATGCTAAAAAGAGACGAGTGGGCAGATGAGTTGCTTTTGTTCTCAATGTTTTGTTTGATTGAGAAATGACTCAGACTCAAATTTTTGGCCTTTTTGGTGCCTCTTGTAGCACTCTCCCTTTGGTGCTTTCATCCTTTCCGTACATGTCTGCGAGCTCTGTTTTTTGCTGCACTTTTTGATCGGGTACAGACAAGCATGGCGGGGTGGTCGAAACTTGTGGTCACTTTCAATTTGATTAGATGTCCATCAATCATCACATAAAAGACATGAATTACTATTAAGTCATCTGAGCATGTCAAACTTTCTGTTAAATCATCCAAAGGCCATATGCCAGGCACCCACAGTTCCACAATACACTTGGCGAGCCTGCTGATGTCCTGCAGGCTCCCAGAAAGCCACAGCAGGATGACAAGCAAAACAGAAGCAAGTAAATGTTTTAAAATCAGGGTGTCAAAGCAGAGCAGCACAAACTTTCCTATTGTGCTCATCGCCTGCTTCAGAGGGGCTCTTTAACACAGCTTGGGATAGAATATGTATGGCCCACTGGATGATCTAATTTTCAAATAATTCTCCCTTTGTCCTGACAGTGGACTTCAAACGGAAAGAGACGGGCCAAACAATCGACTTCAGAGATGGCACTGGAAACAGGAGAATGGGCACGCTAGTGTATCCCCCCCAACAAATGCACTTTCCATACATCAAAAGACGTGTCAAAATGAGCCGGGCTCATGATAATCAGATGGTCGATGGGGCAGGGTAATGAAATTTGGAATTAAGTGGAATCAAAGCGAATAAGGAACTCCCGGACATCAAAGGGAGCACGGGTGAACCGAGCTCCTCTTTATCAGAAATGTCACTAGCCGTATGATAATCAGTTTTTCATGATCGCTACTATTGTATGTGCAGACTTCAAACACGATGAGCGCCGAGGCTTTATCCGTCTCTCACACGGTGCAGCTGGGCTCTGGCTGTGGGAGGGGAAAGTTTGATTGGAGCGGTGGAGGAGGAACGGGGGGGGGGGGGGGGGGGGGGGGCGGGGGGGGGTTCAGCCTCTCCCACCAGTTTGAGACTGATCTGTTTTTCCACAGCGAAGGTCACCAGCTGTTGACCTCGCCTCACCCCATAATCCCCCCTCATTTTCTCCTCACCCCTTTGCTTCCTTCCTTCTTTCTTTCCATCCCTTTCTTGCTCTTATTGCTCACTGTTGCCACTGTCTGTTGCTCTGGCCCATGTGTGCGTTTGTTATTTGTGTTGTGTGTTTGCGCATGTGTGCTCATCCTTAACCATTTCTGCCACTGTTTATTCAGGTGGGCCACTGTGGTTTGAACCCTCCTACATCCCATACACCAATAAATGACTGTGTGTGTGTGTGTTCATCTGCTGGCTGCAGGCTAGAAAAAGAGGAGGGATTGACCTTGTTTTGATGAGTTTGACTGGTAGAGCACCTGCCACCTCACACTTTCTGTGAAGCACACACACGCACTGCCCTTTTAAATATAACACTATCAAACTCTTAAAAGGTCAAGTGAATTGATTTAAAGATGCTGCACGTGATTTGGTTAAAATCTCTCTGTCCCTGATGTTTGATAAGTAATAAGCTGCCTAACTTCCAAGAAGACCGTGACCTTTTATTAACCGAATTGGTTCGACATGGTGATAGTGTGTATTATCAGATTTGGAAAGAATCTACAGTAAATCTGAATGAGGCAGGCCACGTGACAGTACTCTTAGGTTTGGATCATAGACTGTGTTTAAAAGCCACTGTGGATTTTTGAACGATTAACCTTAGCATTATGAAGAATGTGATGTGAAAGAACCCTATTTTAGACCAGAAGGTGCAATGCTAAGCTATCAGCTACTGTCAGCTAGTGTGAAGCCTTAAGTGGGGTGTTGTTGTTGTTGTTGTTGTTGTTGTTGTTGTTGTTTTTCATTGCTAGTTTGCTGTTTTGAAACCATACATAAGATGTGCTCCTTTCTGAAAAACCATTTTGTTTAATTGTGGCCATTCTAACTTAATATTTCATTCATTATTTCCTGGAATGAGTGACTTAGCCTAACAACTTATCGGGAAAGTCTTGCCCCCTCCCTGATCAGACGATTGGCTTCATTTTTCAGACCTATATCCGTGCTACCTATCGCTGTACCTTCAGGGTTCGTACGGGTGCTTGAATTTGACCCTGAAAAAGGCGTATGAACCCTGTACCTTACAACAGGTTGCATCGTCTACCAGAGAATTACGGTACATTAAGATGCTCCAAAAAGCACCAACATCCAGTACTGTGACTGGAATTAGGAGAGATGCAGCTTTACAGACAGTACCTGAGTGAGTAATAAAAAATGAAGGAGGGGAATTAGCTTCCAGCTATATTAATTTCATGATAGACGTTCAGCGATTAGCATTATGATGCAGCAGGACTACTTTTGGAGCCATGAGAGGAACTGTAGTTTTGTGGCACTCCAGACAGCTTTGTTTAAATTCAAGAGAAAAAAGAAGTTGGTGTCATTTGCTGGAAAACGGCTCTTGGGAAGTTGTGATTAACTAGTTAGAAGCATCAAATGGTTTTGCCTTACAAGGTGATGTCAAACACGTTGCTTGTGAAAGCTAAAAAAAAAAGCCTCCGTCATGTAGCAAAGATTTCCCTTGAGTGGTACATGTCAGATGATGAAGTGGCAGTTTGCTTATTGCTCTGCCTTTTTGTGTTACTCTGTCGTGTTTCCTATCTTTTTAAATGTTTTGTTTTAGTTTTGTAAAAACAAAATTTAATCGTTGGGCAATGGATGTGGTACTAAATGGATCCCCTGACCCTAGTTAGCACCTAGTCATGTGTCAAACGTGTCATCCAGCAAAAGCTTTCATGTACACTCAGATTACACAGGCCTTCAGTCTCCAGACACACACACACACACACACACCACTTTGGTTGCAACACGGATAAATGTCAAATATCACACTCCATCAGTCTATCTCACTCTTTATTATATCACTGTCTTTCTCAACCTCTCTGTGTGGAACACGTCTGCTCCACAAAATAAAGAGCACAGATGTGGAGGAGGTCAGAATAGGGTAAAGAGAGTCACCCTCATTTCTGAACAAGAGCTCTAAACAGGACAGCCTGAGAGGAAATTCAGTCTCCTCTCAGGCTTCTGGCTAAACCAGGCTAGCACCCACTGACAAAGCTCGGCGGAGATCGAGGTTTCCTTGTGTAAAAACTCCCTGGGTTCATTAGGACCTTTAAAGTAACTCCTCTCCCCATTTCACAACATACCAAGATTTTCCTTCAAGTGGCTCTGGTTCATCACTGAGGCCCCATCCATCAGACAGATTTTGTGGCTGTTTTTTTGTCCTTGGGAGTTGTTTAAAGAAGACCTGCCTCTGTTTGGAAGCACTTAAAGTACTACATTTTGTGGTGGATGAAGACCACTTTGTTCTGTGTGTTCTCATTTTCTCACTCTCTCTTCCTGAATGGGCTTACAGAAGCCAGTGGGATTGGAGTGGCTTCCCTGATGGGAAGAGTACACAAAGTTTAGGTAACAGTGAGGACCACACCTTATGTCTTCTGTTTGTGTTCTTTATTTTTCAGACATCATAATAAGATTCGCAGTATTGATGGCAGGCGGACTGGGGAGCTGCTTTCTGTGGAAACCCTGGACCTGAGCAATAATGACATTACTGAGCTGCGAGGACAGTGCTTCCCTGCAGGCCTCCATATCCGAGATCTGTAAGTAGCATCTCGGAGGATTCCTGTGGCACGTCATGCACCAGCTATTTAATTAAAACAAAATTAAATAAATTAGTAAAGATAAATATGTTATTTATTATATGAGGAAACTTTAGTTCTATAACTAATATTAAGTGATGTTAATGGACATGCACATGCAAAATAACATGTTTTCCAAATATAAGATTTCTAACAAACCTCACTGTGGCTTCCCTTTGTTCAGGTACCTCAGTAACAACAAGATCAATGTGTTGGAGCTTGGAGCTCTGGACCATTTGGGCGAAACCCTACAGGTTCTAAGACTGAGCCGAAACCGCATCAGCCAGATCCCCGTGAAAGCCTTCCAGCTCCCGAGGCTCACCCAGCTGTGAGTGCCACTGGATTTGATCAGTTTTAACAATGTAGGCTAGTGTGCTGACAAGCTTGAGCTTTGATCTGTCAAAACAGTTCACCCTGCAAAAACATTACGCTGTTGTCATATCATATTTAGGCTGAAAACCGAGCGCCTTTCCCAATTGTAGTGTTTGGAAATGACACAGAGATGAGCCTTTTCCCTGAGAAGGAGCTTCTAGTGTCTGCTGATTGAGCTGTGTGTGTGTTTAACATTTAGAGTGCTGTTAGTGTGAGCTGTACCACTAGGGATGGATAAGACCTGACTAGGTAAACACCAGAGCCATATTATTGGTGATTTATTGCCTTCTTCCATATCCCCCAAAGTGGTTAGTTTAGTCCCCACACCATGCTCCTTTATCTTCGTCAAACTTCCCTCTAGCATAACGGTGAGGTAGACCCATTTGTAGCTCAACGCCTCCATTCTGGAGAGCAAAGGGACTCGCGTAATGGGAGTCTCTCTCTATTGTGGCTCCAGTAGTTTCCCCAGGTGCCTTTTGTTGGACATGGGGCCCCAGTGACACTGTATCACCACATGCTAGAGGTGATGCACATGAGACACAAAAGAAGCTTTGTGAATGTTTATCTTTGAAAAAGCTGAAGGCTTTTACAGCCTACACACACGCACACACGCACACACACACACACACACACGCACACAGCGGCTGTACAGATTCATTGTTACATCCACAGGCACCTCAGGCTTTTTATACAAAGAGAAAATGAGTAAAGTTTTTAATCATCTCACTCTGTCTTAATTCAAGGGGTAATAACACATGTAGTGTACAACCCTGGCCCCATATCACCACCAATGCTTGATAAATGCCTTTGCTGAATAAGGGCAAAACAAGGGGAAGATGTTTTTTCTGCTGCTTCTCTTTAAAATGGTCTTCTGTTTACAGTCATCTGTTTTGTCCTACCACCTTTCAGTGAGCTGAACAGGAACCGTATACGCCAAGTGGAGGGTCTAACCTTCCAGGGTTTATCCAGCCTGGAGGTGCTCAAACTACAAAGGAACAGCATCAGCAAACTGACTGACGGAGCCTTCTTTGACCTGGCTAAGATGAAAGTCCTGTACGTACTAAACATGACCTTTAATAATACCAAAGAGAATCATTTATTTAAAACTATTATCCGACTGGTTTTGTTTTACTTTCACAAGTTCTCCTGCACAGCAGAGGACAAATCCGGATAGTTGAAAAAAAAAAAAATCTTAATTTAAAGAATTTGGGTGCTGCAGTTAGTTTGGAGCGAGCACTATCTGATTGGCTAATCCTATTTGCACTCATTTACTGCCGTTACAGGAATACTCACTGACTAAAAAAGATCTTTTTGTACCCTTACTGGAACTTTCTCACAATTACACTTTTTCCCCCTCCACCCAGAACTTTTACATAATCACTTAAATTACACGCAAAATAACAGAGTAATGCTCACAAATTGCATTGTAATTTATGTCACAGTAATGTGGTGAAATGTTGTGAGATCAACAGATTCTCACTGCAGTATCTCTGTGTCATGCAGGCACCTGGACTACAACAGCCTGACAGAGGTGAACAGTGGCTCGCTTTACGGACTGACTTCCCTGCAGCAGCTGTTCCTCAGTAACAACTCCATAGCACGCATCAATCCTGATGGGTGGAAGTTCTGCCAGAAGCTAAGGGAGCTGTAAGTACCAGCATTCAAATTAGCCCGAACGCACACTCTCTTGCCAGATGTACCGCTAAAACGTTTCACCGGAGAGTGGTTAAATATCCGAAAAACTCAGCTTGGTAACGACAAAAAGCGTATATATCAGTGCAATTTGCATTTTTTAAAATAAAGGTTTAAATGCTAGCTCTTAAAGTTTCCACTAACACTAAATGTGGATTCTTAAAGCCTCGAGAACCCAACTCTTTTGACCTGCCACCCATATCATCATCACCATCTCCCTTTCAGGGTTAAACGACATTTTGTTTTAACACTCAGTACGCTTACACTATTCTCAGGATTAAGCCTGTTTATCCCATAATTAGAGCTGGGCTCAACAGCACTCGAGCGCTTCGACATGAGTTTTTGTGCTCCGTGTGTAAACCTGCGGCAAACCGGCGTGTAAATCCTCCGCTGGATGTTGTTGTAATTACACTGAAGGATCACCTTCACTGCCTTTGTCTGCCGAGTTATTATCTGAGAGTCTTTCCTGCACTGTTGACACGACTGTCGTAATGCCGCTTTAAAGTGCTTCGCTCAGCTGAGGCGTTGCTAACTACGAGGTAGCCGGGGCTATCTGTGGCGCCTATGTTTGTTTATGTGTGACAGTCAGAATGGATAAAGTGGTAGATGGTGATCGCGCTAGTTTGCTCTGCGTATCTCAGCGCCGCTTCCTGTACGCTCCCGGCACACGTTTCTCCCAGCACCGCACCTTTCCACCAGTTATATAATTTTATTATCTGCGTTTTGATGACCCTCACGGCTGATAGAAGTGAGTGACTCGTCTTTATGAGAAGCCTTGTTATTGCATTCCCGATTCGCCGGGCTGAACTGGTCATCAGGGAGAATCTCTGCACACATGACTAGTCAAGCAAACCTGAGACAGACAGAGAGGGCAATAAAATGCACAATACTGCCTTTGAGCACTGTTTGAAAGATACCGTTGTAAGATTTATTATCAGTGGTAATCAGGATTTGCCATAAAAACCACGAAAAGAAGAAACATTCTTAGAAGTCTCTTCAAGCTGTAGTTTCATTTCTTTTCTTTTTTTTTTCCTTTTCTTTTTAAGATTGCAAGTAAACCATCTCTGAATTCCTAAAACAGGGGAAATCCCTTGGAAACCCACGCAGTGTCGACACCCCATTAGTATGTTCCTCAGGCCTTTTAATAAAAAAGAAAAGATTTAGAGGCTGGATGTGAATATGAGTAACATTTTGAGGGTTCCAGGACACGAGTAGCAGTTTATTCCCCTGGGGTTTACCACACGCTTAAGTAGTCTTATAAACGGAGGTTGTAGACATGCTGAGTCCCAACCCAGAATTTCTTTTCTTTCCTGTCAGACGATGCGAAGCTCATTTAAGCTCTGACTTCTGCTAAATCCATTCTCCGTTAACATCATGTGGTGTGGAAAACCGTACAATGGAAAAACGCATCATAAACTGGCAAATGGTCATCGAATGGGCTTTGAAACTGAAGTATAATGATGTCGTGGTCTCAGTGGTCTGCCAACCTTCCAGACCCCACACAGAATATTTCTCTCTGTCTGTTCTGTTTTTTTCCCTCACTTTCTCTCTGTCGCTCCTCTTCTTCTGTCTCTATTTCTTTCTCTCTCCAGGAATTTGTCTTACAACAACTTAACTCGTCTGGATGAAGGGAGTCTGGCAGTGCTCGGGGATCTCCACACCCTCCGGCTGGGCCACAACTCTATCAGCCACATCAACGAGGGAGCCTTCAGAGGCCTCAAGGCTTTACGCATCCTGTAAGTACACCAGCCCACCCCCAACCACCATTACCAAGCCCCAAACAGACCCCTAACTCACACATTATGCCCCTGCTGACCATAAGGCTAAGACGTGCCACTTGGGAGCAGTGAAAATTGAGATGCTTAATTTTGTTTTTTGCCTGGGTGACATTTGATAGTTAATCTCATGAAGTCCCTTCGTTTGACATAGGAAAGAGGGAGCTGTTGGCTTTCAGTGAGGGTTTACTGTCATTTGTATTCATGTCTTTTACAAGGTGTCTATTGTCATGGTTTCTGTAGCAACTTCTTACTTTTTTAGTGCCTTTTTTCACTTTGTTTCTTCAGTTTTGTCTGGGGCGTTTGTTTTGTCTCCAAACAACCAGCAATCTTGGATCTAAAAGGGTTCTGTGTCACTCGGCTCCCTTGAGATCCTTCCTGGCTTTTTTGAAGCCATGAATGAAGACAGAGGATTTTTTTTTCCTTTCCCTGATCCACCATGTGCACAAAAAGCCCAAAGAAAGAAAAGGGGAGAACCACAGGGAGAAAGCCGGTGGATAAATCCAGCAGAAAGACTTGGGGGTCTTGGTCCCTAACCAAGGTCTTCTTGGCTGAGCTGTTCACAAGAGAGCCAGAGAGGAGAGTAATACCAGAGCCTGCTAGAAAGGCTCTCTGACAGCAGGGTCAGAAGCCAAGGCACATAAGGCTTCTCCCTCTGCTGGCACGCTGGATGCCAGATAACTAGCTACAGAGGGTGGAACAGGGAGCTTTCACTGCCATATCTCAGCCCTTCTCATGTTTTTCTTTCTTGTCTTTAATTAACCGCTTTGTTTCATTTGGCTGCACACTTTCAAACCCCTCTTAATGCCCATTTCTTCCCCTCTGTTATTCTAAGTGTGTTCTGTCATCTCCTAACGATATCCCACAATACATATAATCTCTGTCTTAATTTTGGAATTTTTTCCTCCTCTCTTGTACTCCTTCTGCTCGGTGTCTTTGAGGCAGGCCTAATCTAATCAGCAGTGGGGAGGACGTGCATAGGCTGGGCCCTGAAAAGGAGCCGGGGGAGCTTTAATTGGGCCGGAGTGGCTGGTTGCGCTGGCATGGGGCTGGAGCCTGAAACGGGGTGTGAAAGCTCCAAACAAGCCAGCCTGCCCTCTAATTCGGCCACGGGGGTCGTTGGCTCTCCGTGCCCCCATCTCTCCCTCACTCTCTCTCTCTCGCTTGCTCCTCTACTCTGCAGCCCCCGCCGCTGCCCTTGCTTTAACAAGGCAATAGCCTTTAACATCCACCCAGCCAGAAAGAGTAGGAAATTGGCAGCTCCAGTCCAGTCAAACAGACACAGTCGTCAGCGCAAAGTGAAAAGAACCAAAAGGGGATAAGAGATGCTTGGAAAGCAAATGGGAGGAGGAGTGGAGGTGGCTATTGTGGTGGGGGTGGAGGGGTGGGGCTGACCATTAACCCCGAAAGCCCTTTCTCAAGTTTGAGGAAAGTCTTTTTTTTTTCTTTTTAATGGCTTGGAGAAGTTCTCAGACTCTGCCGCTTGTTCTTTTTGATCACCATGCAGCAGGGCGGAGCGGTGGCCCCTCTGCAGCTATGACTTCACTGAAAGAGGTAGCTCTCAAGCAGAAGCATTCAGCAAGTGTTCGGAAACCCCCAACTTTCGTTCACTCAATCTCTTCTGTCTTTGTCTGGCCATGACTAAGCTTGGCTGCTAACCCCGTCGGCACTCTTGGCTGCGCCGTACCTGCCAGCATCGGACTTGCAGTCCGAACTGTCTGGCTTCTGGCATTGTGTTCTTGCCAGTCCCTCTATGCCATCATGAATTATACATGTTTCCCTGCACTGGGGTTTGCCTCAACACACCAGCGCACATGCACACGTTTTCACACGCACACTCCTTCTCCACCCCTCTAAGGAAAGAATGTGCTTGGTTGGCAGAGCAGAGCGGGAGAGGGGCTCTTTAAGCCAGGTGCAGCGGGGGCGAAGGGGGTAACCCGTGACTTCCAAGAGCAGCTTCTGCCAGGGCTGTGAAGCGCTTCAGCGCTGCCAGGACCAATCCCTGTTCCTCTCCTCAACCGCCTTCCGCCGTTCTTATCCTCCTCTTTTCTCTCATTCTCCACAGGGAGCTGGACCATAACGACATCTCAGGCACAATAGAGGACACCAACGGGGCCTTCTCTGGATTGGACAGCCTCATCAAGCTGTGAGTGTCTCCCCTCCTTTTCATCCCTCAGCCCTGGCCTGCCACTGTCTCTCTGCTCTCTTCAGAAAACAAAAATAGAGAAAGCGAAGGGAGCCGCCTCCTTTTCTTGCATCCCAAAGCCACTCCAGTTTAAGTTTGTTTAGAACTTTGAGACACTATCACGAGCCCACACTTTACTTTGAAAAAAACATGCTCACACTGAGCAACAATTTAAAGGTCCCCTCTTTATTTAGTTTATTAGTTTTTTTCCTCCTCATCCTATAGAGGCCACTTTCTCTTCAGTTCATTCTAGCGTTCATCTTGTGATTTGATTGTAAGCTTTATGGGCAAACTGGGTTCTCTTTGCTGATAATGGCTGGAAAAATGAGTCATGTTTTTAATTACTCATCGGTGCTTTCAAACGCCTTGTATAAAGTTCAATATCAAAAGTTAGTAAGCTTAGAAATTACAGAGGCGTGAAGTTTCTGGCAATGAACAGCAATCATCAACCCACAGGATGAAAAGATGATGTCCAGCCAAGATGGTTCCCAGTGTGAGCACCGCTGAAAGAAAGAATGAGAGAAAGAGGGGAGAGAAAGGGCTTTTCTTTGAGCTGGCAGGGGTTCGCTCCCCAATAGGCGAAGGACTATTTCTCCTCCATAGCCGCACTCCCTCTCATCCCCTCATTCCCAGTCTCTGTTGTTAAGAGCTGAGAGAGGGTGAAATTGAGGGCCGCATTCAGTCATCAAACATCAAACGCCTCATGAGCCCCGCCCTCTGACCCTGCCCCTTTTGTCAAGGCGTTGTCGGAAGCTGCCTGATGCATCCCAACGCTGGCAAAGCGAGCCATGGGAAAACCAAGAGAGAGAATCTTACATCAAAGTGTCCATTACACACACAGAGTTCCCATTTTAAAACTGTTTTTAAAAAGCTGCGTGGGAATGCCGCCACATGAGATGGAAGTGGATCTTACTGTTCAAAAGATGATTTTTGGATTTGATTCAGTTACAAGTGCATGTGACAGCTTCATTGAATTCCTTTAAAAACAAAAAATTATACCGTTATCTGTGTGACAAGACTGCCATTTGTTTGTGTACATGTGGACGAGTTTGAACACTGGGCTCTTCTTTGTGAGCCAGCCAGCCGTGTCTCCTCTTCCTGCGATCCAAAGGCTACAACGGGTATGAGGTGGTGGCAGTGGCGGGATGAAGGAAGGGGATTAAGACCCCAAATCAGAGCAGCTAGACTTTGGGCTTGACAGACACTGAAATGATTACACGTATGTCCTGTTCGCGGGGGGGGGGGGGCTTTTAGATTCTAATAAAGATAAAAGTGGTCTTTGAAGAGCAGCACAGAGCCCAGGTGCCCCCGCCCACCTCCACATCCCTGTTCCATCCCCTTTACCCTTCCTCTTGGCTAATCTCCACACAGTTCAGGTTTCCAATACCTCACCCCCCCCCCGCCGTCAATCTTATCAGATTCAAACCGGCTAATTGTGCTTCTCTCTCTGTTTTGTTCTCTCTTCTCATCCCCTTCCCCCAAAATGTTCCCTCCTCCCTCTTCCTCTCCCCCCTTCTTCATATATTGACACCCCTCGTGTTTGGAAACGGCAGGACTCTGTTTGGAAACAAGATCAAATCCGTGGCCAAGAAGGCCTTCTCTGGCTTGGATACCCTGGAACACCTGTGAGTATCCCAGGAGAGAGAGCGGAAGAGGGGAAAGAGGGGGTGGAGTGTAAGGGGGTGTGGGTTTTGTAAAAGTAGTTGGCAGGGGGAGGCTGCTAGCGTCGTGGTGAAAGAGAATGATATCGGTGTGGGTAACACTAATCTGTTCACACTTGATGAAACAGTATTTAATATTTCAACAGGAACGTGGGGGAGAACGCTATTCGCTCCATTCAGCCCGACGCCTTCACTAAGATGAGGAACCTCAAAAGCCTGTGAGTTTAACACGGATCTTTCTGGTTCTGAGTGTGCTTACAGAACCTGCCTGCAGCAACTCACTCACAAATACAGAAAAGGGTACAGTGCACGTGACATATGCTTGTCTGTTCCCTCTCCTCCAGTCTCATTCAAAGCAACAGCTTGCTGTGTGACTGCCAGCTCCACTGGTTGCCCGACTGGTTGGTGGCACGTGGTTTGCAGGTCGGTATCAATGCCACCTGCGCCCACCCGGAAAGTCTGAAGGGAAAGAGCGTCTTTGAGGTTCCGCCCAGCAGCTTTGTGTGTGGTGAGTGTGTGTGTGTTCTCTGGTTACATGGCTGTGTCATTGCTTTGTGATGAGTAGGAGGCGTTCAAGGCACAGATGGGCCACATACATGGGCTCCGCTGTCCTGTTATTGACACATTTGCATGTATTTGGGTAGTGTTTTTGTTTAGTTCTGCGATAAACTCTCCAGCAACATGATGTCAGTTTTTATTTTCCCTTTTTACATTCAGACACCTGCTGAGCAACGCTTGTGATAATATCCTCACGCTTTTTAAACACACTTTATTTCACCCGCTGCCTTTTTTTAGACGACCTCCCCAAGCCTCAGATCACCGTACAGCCGGAAACCACAATGACAGTCCTCGGCAGTGACGTTCGTCTCACCTGTACAGCTGCCAGCAGCAGCTCCTCCCCCATGACCTTTGCCTGGCGCAAGGACCAGGAGCTCCTTCGTAACGCTGAGATGGAGAACTACGCCCACGTGCGTGCTCACCACCAGGCCGCGACACCAGATCTGCCGGGAGGAGGAGGCGTGATGGAGTACACTACGATTCTCCACCTGCGCCGCGCCACTTTTGCCCACGAGGGTCGTTACCAGTGCATCATCACCAACCACTTTGGCTCCACCTACTCGAGCAAGGCCAGACTCATCGTCAACGGTATGTTGTGTTGTTCACAGCTTCTTTGGGTCACTTTTATTCATTTATTAAAACAGACGAATTGTTTCAGCTGTTTATATTATTCAACTGAATTTCAAAATTACAGGGCCCACCGTGAGTTTGTCTTTCGCTACAATAAAGTCCCCTTCCTCTCTCTCACTCTCTTGAGCGTCCTCTCCTCTAGGCTGATATTTGGAACAAATTGATTTAGCTGCATGTCATCGCTGACAGGCTTGATCTATTCTGCGCTCTGGCAGGGAACCAAACTCTGAATAAATACTGTCCAACTGCAGGAAAGCAGTGTGAAAAAGCCTCCATCAGACCTCAGGCTTCTTCTTAACCCTTGCTGTAGCCAAGTGCTCGCTCACAGCAGATCCTGTCAAACTGAATTTAGCATTTTGGCAGTTATTTACCTGGTTGTTGCTTTGGCTTACTCATGTATAAATAAAGGTTTCCTGCTTTTCTAACTGAATGTTTCTTGATTTGAATGTCAGCAGCAGCTGGGAAAATGAATGAGCAGCTCTGTAATCCTTTACAACTGCTGTTGCAGTTCTACATCCTGCTCGGGTAGACTGCCTATATGTTTGTAAATGAGGAAATTACTCAAACTATGAAGTGGATTGTCAACCTTCCTACAATATATAAAGGTCATATTGTTTTGATCTGCTAATACTGAAGGAATTTTTCCATCCGTAGTTCTTCCATCCTTCATCAAGACTCCCAGGGACAGCACCATCCGAACCGGCCACACTGCCAGGCTGGAGTGTGCTGCAGAGGGTCACCCGGCACCTCAGATCGCCTGGCAGAAGGACGGCGGCACGGATTTCCCCGCCGCCCGCGACCGCCGGATGCACGTCATGCCCGACGACGACGTCTTCTTCATCACGGACGTCAAGCCGGTGGACATGGGCGTGTACAGCTGCACTGCCAAAAACACAGCTGGCACCGTCTCTGCTAATGCCACCCTCACCGTACTGGGTAAGAGCTGGGTTTGGTCAGTCCGAAGCAGAATGAGAATCTTTATATTTTGCTTTCTCGCCAGCTGTGGCCTTGCTGCAGGTCAGGGGTCAGAGGTCACAGTTAGGGGTCAAAGGAGGGGATCGAGGGGGATCACAGAGGGGAGTTTGTTAGGCATTTACACACACACACACACACACACACACACACACACACACACACACACACACACACACACACACACACACACACACACACACACACACTCTCTGTGAGGGACAGTCATGGCTGCTTCACTGCAGGCCTCAGTGCTCCCAGTTTATTGGCTGTTTTACACTGTTAAACAGAACAGAGCTTCTCTCTTATAACCATCTCAGCACATAGATCATCATTGTCCTTTGTCTTTGAACTGAGCAAAACAACCCACTGTTATATACAGATGGGATATATTTTTACTTATACATTTTTAATTGACCTTTTAAATTAATCTGTAACATACCCGCAAACATTTAAAACACTGCTTTAGCATAACATTTGCATGTTGTCAAGTTTTAATCTACAAAGCACTACAAAATACTGAAACAAGATACCGTAGAACCACTCTGAATTTCTAATGTTTGAGTTTAAGTGACGGAGAAGGAGGGGTAGTGTGTAGTCAAGGGGCCCCTAACTGAAAGAAAGTGGTGGGGGAAGAAAAATGGGAGCCAAAGAAGAACTGCAGCGGTGGAGTGTGAGTGCGCGTATGTAGGGGGAGGAGGTAGTTAAGAGGGATTTAGAGAAGATAAGAGGGAGGGCAGAAAGAGAAACTGGGAGGAGGAGGACGAAAATATTGATAGACGAGAACACAACTGAAATGGGTTAAGTGAGATGTCTTAATCTGTGTACATCCCACTGTGAAGGGAAGTGCTCACTCTGAGAGGAGAAGCCACCCTTAACATCCTTTGACCACCACCAATGTTGAATCACCACAATCCGGTAGTCTGTCATCAATACAGTGAACAGAAAGGTGCTAAAGAAAACCGTAGAACCACCAAAACCGTAGTTCTAGAAATCCTTGGCCTCTTTTTATGAGGAAACTCATCACCCCACTTTTCCACAGAAACGCCCCACCTGGCTCAGGACCTTGAGGACCGCAGCATTACTGTCGGGGAGACGGTGGCGCTGCAGTGCAAAGCTCTCGGCAGCCCGCCCCCGCGCATCACCTGGCTGCACAACGACCAACCGCTGCGCCCCTCCGACAGACACCACTTCACGCCGGGAAACCAGCTGCTTGTCATCGGCTCCGCCTTGCTGAAGGACGCCGGGCGCTACACCTGCCTCATGTCCAACACTCTGGGCACAGAGCGCGCCCACAGCCAGCTGGTGGTGACTGAGCGCAGGAACGCTTGCGCCACACCGACAGGTCCGAGCACCGTTACTATAGGGATCATCGTCATCGCTGTGGTTACGAGTATTGTGGTGACATCGCTGGTGTGGGTGTGTATCATCTATCAGACGAGGAAGAAGAGCGAAGAGTGCAGCGTGACCAACACAGGTGAGCTCAGAATGACTTCTTTTTGCTTTTTTAAATTTGTAAGTTAAAAACACATTTAATCTAAAAATGAAGAAACCACTAAAACTTCATGCAGCCCACAGTTCTGGCTCTGATGTCTGCCTCTTTTCTCTCTCCCAGATGAGACGATCGTTCACCCAGATGTATCCAGCTACCTCTCCTCCCAGGGGACTCTGTCCGAGCGGCAGGACATGTGCATCCGTGTGGAGACCGGCGGTGGCCCTCAGCCCAACGGACACGTTGTAGACACCACAGGTACCGCTAAAGTTCGCTCTCTGCTTCCAAATGTTTGCGCTCTCCCCGGCAGTTTCTCCCACGTCCCCTGGTGGGTTACGTAATGATGAGACGAGCGCTGCTGTAAAGCTGTAAAGACCTGCTCAGTGTCAAAAATAATCACAGGAGACGCCCTCAGCACAATGTTGACATGCATTTGTTGACTTTCTGCCTCCAAATCATTTATTTGTTTCCCCGTGGCTGCCCGCAGGTTTCGACAGCACAGTGCTGTGCACAGATTGTATGGAGAATGGCAACAGCTACTCCAAAGATCCCGACTACCTGGCACACGGGTTTGGTCCTGCTGCAGGCATGGAGTACCAACAGCAGCTTATTCCACCACCCTACTCTTACTGTTACCCCGGGGAGCAGCACGACACTGGGTCACACACAACCCCACTCTGCAATGGGACCCCCAGCAGGATCCGAAAGAACTCTGAAGGATCAGTGTTTCCAAAAAACCATAATACAACACTGAACCAACACGATAGAAAAGGTACGGTGATTAGTGTAGTGAGTTTAACTGTACTTATCCAGCGTTATCCCATAAATCCACTACTCTTCTTAAAGCTCCACACTGCCCTGCTGGAATAACAGTTTTATCAGGTGATGCCATGAGAAGCTATCAGCCATTCTGGAGTCTTCTTTCTGCAAGTGCCTTTGAATGTGATCTTTGATGGATTGTCTCCTACCAGCATCTGACACTGTATCATAGTTACATGCCCAGAGCCCCTCAGGATATGTATCTCCCTCCTGATGATGCACGCCCAGGCCTGTTCTGGGCTTCAGCTCCTTTAGTTATATAGCAGTGGTATTGGCCTTTGAATACCAATTCTCACCTCCACACAGCTCTACACACACATTCCACTGACTCGCTTTCTTCCAAAGCCGAGCACATATTTGTCTTTGTGCGTGCCACGTCACTGACCCCGCCTGTTCCTTCTCTGTTTCAGCAGTGAGCAAAGCGGGACAGACCAAGACATCGCAGGAAGACTCCTTCCACAAGCCGGTGAAGCTGGCCAGCGTGACGAGCCACGGACACATCGACACGGACTGCGAGCCTGAGCTCAGGCAGACTCTGCTGTCCAATGGACACGCCCTCAGAGCCTCTCAGAATGAGAGCGCCTCTCTAAGGAGAGCCAGTGACTAGCAGCCCCAAAAATGTGGACCGATATATACAATAATTTTTTTTCTTGCACTGGGAAATAACCTGCTACCTCATATCGAGGCAAACGGTCCCGAGCCTCCTGCATCTGAACTGACGGAGGAGAGGAGGGGGGAGGGGCATCCGGAGTTTGAAGGCGGAGCTTGTGTGGGGGGCGTCCCATCTGAGCGTATCAGCTGTACATAGTTAAAAACCTTCCTTTGGGAGGTGGCCGCTAAAAAAAAATAAAAATAAAAATTTTAGCTGCAAAAAAGAGAAAAAAAAAAAGAAAAAAATGTGACTTGCATTTGAAGCATGTAAATGTAGGGAATCTTGTACAATATGTATGTGCAGGGGGACTAAAAAGAGAAATATGCCTTTTGGACTTTTTTTTTTGACTGTACATAAGAGTTTTCTTATATATTATATAACTTTTACAAAAAAGAGTGTTTAAATATATGTGCATGGCAAAGAAAGGAGTGATGGTATTTTTATTTTTCTTACAACAAGAAAAAAAACAGCCTTTTTTCAGCTTTTACCAACATTCAGCTGCAGTGCCTTATTGCATGATCAAAGAAAACTCAAGTTGTAATAGCATATATCCAGAGACTGTTTCTGTGAGAGATCCTGGTACACTTTTTATCGCAAACAAAACACTTGATCGCACTTGAATGTTTTACACTTTTTTTTTTTTTTGCCAGCTATGGCCTTACGGAAACAGCTCGCACCACCGTTTTTGTATGAAGGAAGAGCTCGGATGCTGATTATTTAGGTACGTTAGATGTTGGTGCGAGTGGTGGGATATCAGTTAAAGCACTTTTTTCTTCACTTCACAAACATGCAGACTGTGTGTACACGATCCACCGGCAGGAATGCAGGAGCCTCCTCTCTGAGGAGACGTTCCGCATATCTCGACGCACTAAAGTCAACAGTACATACTGTACCCATAAGGCTCTTCCACCTGTTTCACAACACTACACGTTTACTGCAAAGCCGCTCTCATCGGGTTGGGATGAATGCTTCACGTGTTTTAAAGAGGACTTATTATGCTTTTTGGTATTTCCTTTTCATATGCAGATGTACGTGGAAACTGTTACAGTGTTGGTTGCTCATATTAAACATAGCCAAAGTTTTCACATAACGAGGTCAGTGCATGTAGAAGTAATCCCTGTGAGCCCAAAGCTCAGGCTTCAGACCGCTCGGTTTTCACCCACCTGCTGTTCAGACACTCTGTTTGCCAGAGGATGATTTGAGGGGGCTGCACTTAGGCTCAGTGTACAAACCTAAATAATTGTTTTGAACTGTGAATCGTGCAAAGCTGCTCAAGTCAATGCCAATAATTCTTTACAAAATTAGATCGATCGATCTCGAGAGAGAGTGAGGTCTGCAATAAGCATAATAGGTCCTCTTTAAGTTCGATTTTTTTTTTTTTTTTTATTTGTCCCAGAAAGTGACTTTGGTACAATTCTGCAACCACATGTGGCTGCTAACAGCTAACAGCTGTTGCTTGGAAGCTGCAAAAGCCAGTAATAATGTCTCAGTGCAACTGCGTGACACCTGTCATGAGTTACGGCCCACATTCATAACCGAAGCTGCAATTTTTGGACGTTTAATTGGCCGGCTGCCCAACTGTTTTTTTTCTCTTCTTTTTAATAATAAAATCTGAATGCTATGGAATTAGCAAAAGATGCATTGTGATGTTGTGTCATTCAGTTACTGCTGTAATATGGGTCGACATCCGGGGGGGGGGAAGCTGGGGTACGGGGTGGTGCATTTGGGAGCAAAAGATGGCCAGTACTCCACCTGAATCACTGCAGTTCAGTAATAACGATTCATGCCTGAGGTGGATAAAGGTGCAGCTCACTCCTGTGAACAGTTAGGGAGGCTTGTGAAAAGTGCTGTAACCAAACTTTGGGGGGTGAACTGTCACAGTCCCTGAATACTTTGGTACCATTCAACATGAATACACCAGTGGCCTTATCAAGGTAAGCTGGAGGACATGCTCCTCTGGTTACACCTGATAGCACTTACTGAGGTGATTTTTACCAGCAAGACCAATCAGAGAGTATGTTTTTTTTTTCCTCCTCTTCTTTGTTTTTTGGCCTTTGGGAAAGCAACCCCCGTGTAGTAGGTAAAAGGGACTCGAAGGAGCGAGGGTGCAGTTCATATCCTGAGTAATTTATTGATGCAGACTGTCTGAAACCGTTGTCCCAATGTCAAAGTTAAAACAGTGAAGTGTCTAACATGGCATTGAAGTGTCTAATAAAAATCCCATTTTGCTATTATTACAAGTGTTGGGCCTGTTTTCTTGCTCATAAAAAAAAACCCACACACATAGGAAGGATGTTTCGACAATATCACAAACAGCTGAGTTAGCATTTAACGCTGCTCTCCTGTCACAGCGGTTATGGAGAAGCCATCAATTCAAATGGAGCATGCACAAAGACATGAAATCCAGAGTCCTTGATCTTCAAAGTAGTCAAGTAGACACACACACACACACACACACACACACACACACACACACACACACAGAGAGAAAGCTAATCTTCCAACCAGGAATGTCTCTTGGCTCCTTGGAGCTGCAAAGACAGCAGGCTTTTTTTTTCCCTTCTGCGGGCTGTTAAAAATATTTGCTATTGAGTCGAGTCTGACTGAAGGTCAGGATGTGCATTCCAGATGGACGTTTGTCACCAGATGATTGACGTGCCCCTGGCCGCGGCCTCCACCAATCACACTCCGACCATTGTTGTGCTACAGCCTAGTGACAAGCAGCATGACAAACAGTCCCACCTGTGAGGACATTTGTCTTCTCGTGCAGTTTTACTTTCCAGACCGGCTGCTGACAGATGAGAGGAGCTAATTCACTGAAAACGCACTGATACCTAACTGTTCTTCCATATGCCAGCTAAATAATCCTTCAATAAGATGTATTGGAGCATTTTTTATTAAGTTGTCCTCTTCCTTTAAAAGCCTGAGGAGCAGGGAGGGGGTGCATGAATACTTGTAAAATTTAGAAAGGCCACACTGGAAATCACATCACGCAACAATTTAAATTAAACTCAGAGATTCTCTCATTCATTTCCAAACTTTTCTTATATCTCGTCCTCGTGGCCAGGTCGCGCAACACTTCTGTGGTCCAGGAGTTGGAAACCGCTGCTCCAATAAACAAGATCAAAGCCGGAGTAAAAATGTGCACGGCCTTACCTCTGCTTGATCCAGTCATGCAGATCGGTTCAGCTGTGGGACTGGACCGCTGATATCACACAACCTCAGCAAACAAAATCAAAACCATCTGCTTAAATGAAAGAGCAGAAAATGAAGCTTCTTTGTGAAATCTGGTGTGCTGATCCCTTCAGTGAGTGTATCAGAGCACAAGTGATTTACATAGCCACCAAGATACACATCTTTAAAAAAAAAAGTTAAAATCAGCATGTTTACCAGTTTCATGACTTCTAATCAGGTCGATCACTTACTCTAATTCTGTTTGACTTGAATGTTTGTACATCGTGGAGAATGCAGTTGCTCAGAGCGTCCCACAACATACAACTGCCATAAGAGGAAAAGCTAGCATGGCTTTCTATAACTGCCTATCAGCACCGCTAATGTGCAGCACTTGACATCAAAACATGGGGATGTTAAGCAAGTGCAAAATTTCAGAGAAGCAGCCATTTTTTATGCAAACTACCCCGTTTTCAGAAACTCAACAAGTCAACTGGTTTATAAGCAGGTTTCTAGCCCATGAAGCCCATTCCTTCTTTCTCTCTTTACAAAATAAGCAGATAACAGATCTGGAGTGTTTGGTTGCTGTTCAGTCGAACTTCATTTGAGTTCCAAAGAGACACTGATACTAGTGAAGGAGGTCAACAAAAGGTTAAAAAAAAAAAAAAAGCCTTACACAAACCTATAAGAGAGACAGCAAAACGCTTAAGCAGTGGCCGAATCAAAAATCTGATCTATTCATAAATAAAAGATCTGAAGAGCCGGAGATGACAAAGTGTGTGATTTTGTTAATAAAAGGCTTCTACTGTTCTGGGATTCTACAAGAAAAAAAGGACAAAAAAAAAGGCTTTTGCATGTGGATGAGGTCAGCTTTGCTGCAGCAGGATTGTAACAATGGTGAGATAGTGCTGTGTCTCTCTGGTGGGTCTTTAAAGCAGGTGGCTTAGTCCAATAGAGAGGAGAAAACGCTAAAATGATCATTAAACTATGCAGAGTTCCAGAGAGTCAAAGAAAGCCCCAAACCTCACTCGAAAGATACAAAGACCGTTTTTAATCACATAACTCATTCTCTCACAAACACGTGAAACATAAATGGTCCCAGTCACTGCCGACTACAATGACTGCGTTGTCCTAGGTGATACAGTGTTGCTTCATTTCAAAAAATTCTGTGGTGTTTTGAGTGCCTAATCAATAAGTATGAATGTGGCACTCTGGGTAATGCAGTCATCCCCGTGAGCGTCTCCTCTCCGCCTCATTTCAAAGGACTCAGCAGGATGCTGGATCCTCCATTTCCAGAGACGATTTCCCTGCTGTTCTGGTTCTCTCCATCAGGTCAGGACTCAGGACAGTCACAGGTCGTGCTGCTATAGCAAAGTGCGGCGGACCTTCTCATAGGCTCCGAGGAAGATGAAACCGCCCACGCTGATGAAGGTCATCCTCGGTATGCTGCCAGCAAACAGACTGGAGAAAGGGGAGAGAGCAACAAGTGCTTCTTAAAAAAATATATCTTTGCAGCATTTGTCAAAATTGCGGTACAGTAATGCATTTGAGACGCTACAAGACTATCTACAGCGCTTCTGTGCAGGATGAATGGAGTCCTCAATATAAAGAGCAAAATGTCAGTCCACTAATGTTCGCTTACTGTCTAACAACGTAAGATTGCCTTGTTCGTGACACCCTGTTTGTGAGCTAGAGTATATTTTTAAAAAAAAGAGAACACTTGGTGTTTCGTGCAGCACACTTTATCCGTATTTCAAGGGCGTGGTTAGAGGAAGGACTAGATTTTCTTACACTCAGACGTGTGATCAGCTCTCATAAAAGTGTGCTGCAGCTTAAATGACTGCCATGAAAAAGCGCTGTGAAAGGAGGAGCCCGGAGCGTCTCGTGTCCAGCTCTGCATGGTGTTTGGGTGCAGAGGGGTCCACGAGAGCGCCTCAAACATGAGGCCATGTTAGTGAGCCACTTTCACAAAGAGCAAAGGCTGGGGCCCGTGTTACAGCGACCGAGGCTCAACGAGGAGCTGCTAACATTGGTGGTGGTCAAAGGATGTGATGGGCCATAAGAGTCTCCCAAGATACCCCCCACCTCCTGCTACACACAGCTGTTTTTGGGATTAGGCTTCAAGCTTCCACCCAAGTCCTCTCTGGAGCTCTCACTCCCCCCACCTACCTCCTTCTCGCTCTCTCTACTCTCTCTCTATGTGACTGATGGCCAGATGACATCTGCACATGTCTCTCTGCTGTCCATCCATCCATTTCTCTGTCTCTCCGCTCAGCGACGTCCCCCTCAGCTGGCTCACTTGTTTGGGGATTTCTCCTCCGACTCCTATTCGTGCTGCGTCATGCACTTCTAAGACACGTGCTCACTCGGTCCTGTCAGTTCATCCGGCTTTTTGTGTCCGTCTCTCCATTTATTTCCCCCCCGCTTCACTCCGTCTGACTTTCTCGCAGTGCATTTGCCTACGAACACCTTCTGTCTGCCAATACGCCCCCACGCTCACAAGGTCTGGCCCAGTCCAAGCCAGATGAGAAGTATTGTGTGCTGGTGGATGTGTGCTTGTGTTCGCTTGTGTGTGTGTGTGTGTGTGTGTGTGTGTGTGTGTGCATGCGCACGTGTTTGAAAAAAACAAAACTGTCGACGCATGCAACATGTCTGTCTCCATTCATCATCCGTGTGGGTGTGTTGGCACTTGTGTTCCTGTCCACTTTCATTTCTAGAGAAACTTTTGAAATATTGCAAAGTTTAATTTGGTTTTCATCAGCCTTAAAAATGCTTCTTGAATGCAAATACATCACACACACGCACAAATCAAAAGAGAAAGAAAATAATTCTGAAGAGCTGACAACTTCTGGGCAACCTGACCAGGCCGGTTTTGTGCTTAGGCATCACATTTTTAAGGTTTCAGGTTTTCATAGAGAAGAAATTAAAACAGGACTTCCAGCTAGCAACTGAGAGGTAAAGTATACAGATAATTTTCCATATCACATTTCAGAACTTCACACCAGCTTCTGCTGCAGAGCCACCCAGTCCAAGATTTGCTATTACTCACTATTAGAGGAAAAAAAAAAGCTGTATTAATGACACAGCTACTGCGGCGCTCCGCTGTGCATTTACTATATTGATGTTAGCATTTAGCTCAAAGCTCTACTGTGCCTAACCATCGGCCCTGCATGTTCAAGTGGAACAGAAGATCTTCCTACAACAGTCTCTGTGTAAGCTCTCATCTTCCTTTCAGTGCCCTACATGAAGCCTCTATTTCTGGACACACACACAGTTAAGTGCAGCTCTTTTGAGAAATTTGAGATCAGAGGCCATGACAGACTTCCTACTTATGATATTTTCACGTTGTCCGTTGTAAAGTTATACAAGTGTCCAAGCATGCCAGGGATCTTCCAAACATCCCAACCATTCACACGACTCCACCTTTAAGAATGCTCCAGGCCTAGGTCGCCCGGTCTCAACAGACGGCTTAGCTTTGCATGGCTGGCTTTGATAAGTGTGTGAAACCGAGAGGAAGTTGGAAGTGTGAGAGACCTTATACAAGTGTGTTTATCCAAGCATGAACCGAACTGCTGCAAATAAACACGGGACATTAGTCAGAGGCTGTTGCCCTGCCCTTCGACGTGCTCTTTCCATCTCGGCACGGCTATCTATCACCATCTGCTGAAACAAAAGTCGCAGGCTTGCACCGGGGGAGTGCTGTGCATTGCTTACACCCTGATATCAAATACAATCCAAAGCTAATCAAAACCCACTGACAGAAGTAACAGAGGGCAGGTGGAGCGCCTAACGACAACACAGATCCCTGTGCATTCCACTCAACCTTCTCCATCATGTGATGGTCCGATAGTCGCGCTGCGAGGAATGAACTAATTTTAAACTCAGCGCTCATGTTTTGTCTCAGCTCTCTGCTGCCGTTACATTTCCTGTCTGGGATCAGGCCCACCTGTGGACGTCAGAGCAGAGCCGGAGCTCAAATATTCCCCCTGGGACTCCTCGACATCACGGCCTGGCCATTCACAGAGAGCCGTCATCCCCCTATTGTCGGCCAATCGCCTCTCCCGAGGAACCGGGCTAAATATAGTTTCAAAGCTCGGCAGGACAGTATGGAGGAACCGCCGTGAGCTCACGCAAAATGTTTTGGTTGCGGTGAAGAAATATGCCGGTGCTGCTTAAGAAGAGAGCGAGGGAGAAATCTTCAAATGTATCTGAAAGCAAATTTCTGGCAGACAGAATGCGTTCCATGAAAAAAATAAAATAAAAATAGCCGTACTCGGAAACTCTTTGAAAGGATAAATTTAAGAGGAAAGATGTTTGGGTCTTCAACAAATCTGAGGAAAATCAATCTTTTTTATGTCCTTCTAGCAGGGAGTGGGTGTAGAAAAGTGGACGATAGCTGCAGAGACAAAAACAGACTCGAGCACACTTTCCCTTAAAAAACACTAAATAATCAGTGTCTGGAAAACAAATTACTCATCTGTAGTCACCCTGTTTCCTCTGTGTTATCTTTATCTGTTATATAACTATAACTGCAGTGATGGTGGACATTTTTCATCTGAACAAATAGCACAAACCACTGAGCCTCTAACAAGCACTTTCTGTGCTGCACGGCTATGTTTTAGTCCAAAACTATAAAAAAAAAAGAAAGAAAAAGAATAAGTGACATTTTCTTTAATACTGTTCAGTTCTCGTGAGAACTAACAAGTTTGAGACGTGGCTGAGGAATTCTGGAAGACAAAGCGCTACATGTATTTGATAAATCCTTGGAAATAACTCCCTCTGTAGTCAACACCTGTGCTACAGGCTGAATTAACATGGCATTCTAGTAAACATGGTTTCTCCCCACTTGTTGCAGAAGGAAACAACAGTCTGTAAAATGCTATTTAATCACTTCTGTGTTTCCTCAGCGCAGCGCCTAAGAAAAGTTTGACTCCAAAAGAAGAAGACAGACACCTTTTCCCAGAAATCCTATCTAAAGCAAGAATGTTCTGGAGTCCTCGAGATATTTACGAGACAAAAACAGGGACAGGCTTAAATGATGGGCGGACAGCTGCTCATCATTGTGTCTTTGCAGCACAGCTTTACTGTTTCCTGCAACACAGCACGACTCCGCTCATGCTGTGTTGCAGGACCAATAACAGTAAAGTACAATTGCACTTTACCACAGGTTTCTGTGTGTGAGGTGAGAGCGTGTTACTTATTTGCTTTTCTTCTATTCTGGTTTGCACAAGGAGCCAATCAGAGAGCCTCGAGGACACGTTGCCCATTAGTGTTTATTTTGACATGACTCATAGCCGTGTTTGGTTATCCTGCAGGTTAGTGGGGTAGGCCAGTGAGCTGCACTGCTCTCTCCTAACCTGGGCTCTCTGGGGCATGGCACACACATGGAAGCACTTTAGAGCTTCACTACACAGCAATTGGGCCTATTACCATAATTACAGCTTTAAAGCCCCAGCAATCTGTATCAGGCATGCACCAGTGCAACCACCGAGCCTTTGGCCCTGTGGTAAAACAGACCCCCCCATTCCTCCCTTTGTACTTAAAAAAAACTTTTTAAACACTCTCCTTTGTTTCTGCATTTAATGTGTCTCTTAGCTACTCTCTTTGTTCTCATTCTTCACCTTCTCTGGTTACATCGCATCATGAAGGAAAAAAAAAAGTGTTTGTCATTTTAAGCTCATGGTCCTTGTTCTCTGGGTGCAGCTGAGACACAGCTAAGCCCAGGTGATGATACAATGAGTAGAAGGAGAAGAAGAGGGAGACAAAAAAAAGATTTCCGTGTGCTGCAGAGTTGGAGGCTGTAAACAGTTCTCCTGTGCTCCAGCAGGGACAGTGGGACTTGTAGTTAGGGTTTTTCCACGGGGGCCTGCCAACTATCAGCTCACGGAGATTTAATCAAGTCTCAGACGTGATCTTTATTAAAAATGATGCCCAGAGTGTTACCAATGTTTGAAAGAGGTTTTTAGGGAATCACCCTTGGCTCTGATTGGATTCCAGGACTGTGTCCGCTAAAAACAAACACAAAATTTGCCTGTGTGTGCGTGTGTTCGCGAGTCAGGGAGGGTGGAGAGCATTATCCTACTAGCGTTTGGCCCAGCCCCAAACCAAATCTGCTGCGAGCACTACGTCAGGGTGCATCCCGATTAAGCGATGGCAGCCTGTACACAAGCAGGCCTATTACTCACCGGGACTGAGGGTTTGTTTTAGTGCTGGCGGCCCTCTGTGGACCCCATTAGACCTGGCCTTTTGTCCAGTGCGCATCATAAACACATCAAAACACTTAAATAAACCCTTTCACTTGGCCCCTCGTAACACCTTAATCAATAAGGCGCTGCAGCAAGTCGTCAGGAAAAGCTTTTATACAGCTCATTTTTCAGCCGTGGCTGTAAATTCACGCTCCCTGGAGGAACCGCTCTATCAAACTTGATTACGCGAGGGATCGGGAGCCGGGTTAAATCAAATCATGTAAAATACGAGCTTTCTAAAGTGGCCTGGGATAAAATGGTTTGTGTAAAGAGGCTGTTTGGTTTTAAACAATCACAAGGGTCTTTGAATGTTTCACCAAAATCAAGATACACACACACACACACAAACACACACTCACCCTGCAATGCCCCTACTCCTCCACACATCGTAGAGCACCAGTGGGATGTTGCCGCTCGCTGTGGTTGAGCCGGCCTGCAGAGAGGGAGAGAGAGTGAGTGAGTGAGACAGAAAGAGGGACCTGGAGAGCACAAATAGAGGTGCGATGACTGATAAATTGTCTCCCGTGCTTCCTGCTCCTCAGACAGACACCCTGTTTAGTCTTTCTTAGCCCAGCTTCCTCCCCTTCCCCCCCTCTTTCTGCTCATGGACAGCTGTGTCAGCGCAGGTGTCACCTCCAGCACCCGCTCAGAAACACACCCAACCAGCTGCCCACCCAAAAAAACACACTCAACAAGTTCTCCTTGTCTCCCTCTCCTCCTGCCAGTCCGGTCGTTTTATTTATACTAAACGGATTAGCTGGCCAGACAGTTTTGAATCCATCAGCGTGGAGCTTCACGGGTATGAGAGCGGCACGATAAGGCCACATTGGGTTAAGTGATGGTGTGTGGCTTCAGTTTAAAAGGAAGGAAGATAAAAATGGAAGAGGCAGTTGTGAGATTCGAATAAGCAGGAGGGAGCTGAGCACAGGCTTGAGGAGTTTGTGTGTTGGTGTGCGCACAGCGATCTATGCTGCAGCTTGTTGAACATGTAGGAAACAGTCTGCAGCATCCGCTGTAAATCTAGAGTAGGATTCAGGCTTCTTTTCTTCACGGAAATGGGAAAAACACCCCTATTTCTTGTGTTTCTGTTGGAGACAGGTGGTTGAGAAATGAATCCACCCCCGCCCCCTCCTCTTCTGGCCTGACAAGTTTTCTTTTCCTTTACTGCTGTGGAATGGTGGAACGAGGGAATGGAGGAACAGGGTGTCCAAAACACACACACACACACACACACACACACACACACACACACACACACACACATAGACACACACACACACACCAACACACACACACACACACACACACACACACACACACACACACACACACACACACACACACAGTCCCTGTCCAACTTATGCTGACATACAAAAATATCTTTATGCATCTCAGTTTATGAGTTTCTTCTCCCGATTCGTGTTTTTTTGTTGTCCAAATATAAGATTTAAAAGTGCTTCTTGATGTGTTTTTCTGGGTTTTCTGGCATCCACTATGCTTCCTGTGAAAAGTCTGAACAGTAACGGCTGCTCTATAAAGTGTTGCACTGGCTCCTGTCTTTGCCACAGTTGGTTTCAGTGGATATTAGCAAACATGACACTGATGGCAGCACTGTGATGAACAGGCAGAAATCTCCAACTCTAAGAAGACCAGTGTTGTGCGGTAGCAGCATAGGAGGTATGAGGCAGCTCTGTGGTACAACAGGCACGCTGCCACTGCTGCAGGCAGTCCTGTCCTGGAGGGGCTCTGCTCCTCCAGCTGTGCCCTGGATGTCGGCCTGCCTGGGTCTCGGTTGCGCTAGGCTGCATACTGTACAACGCCAGTCTTTCATTCTGTGTCCTGTGGGAAGAAAACTGATGTGACAAGTTCCAACACCCAGTTTCCCCCCATAGCCCGGATCTAAAGCGTCCACAGTCAACACGAGCCCTGCTCTGTCTGTCTTTCTTCAACGCTCCTGCCTGGACTTGTCACCCACACGCTAAAGGAGCCAACCGAGCGACACCAAACCTGAGCCCCTAAAAATGCGAGTTTAAGATCACTTGAAAATGTATGTTGCATAGTTGGATCTTAACAAGGTTCCAAGTAGAGCTTCAACATGCAACAAGAAAAAATGGGAGTGAGACAAAACATTTTTTGAAAACAACGCTTAAACTGGAACAAGTTGTTTTACAGCTGATCAAAAGTTTAGGACCAAACCCGCCCTTAGTCATGAGGGATGCTCTCTATACTATAACATCTGGACATAGCCAGCGGCCGTTTGACGCCCCTGCACCTCCTGAAGCTCTGTTGTTCCACTGAAGGAAAAAACACCCCAGACCGTTATGGCGTCCCCTCCACTGTGGCACATAGAAAACATCTCTGCTTGTCATGTCAGTAACATTGGAAACCATCAAGGTTACATTTTTTCTCATCAGAGAATAAAACTTTCTTCCACCTTTTATTGTCCCATGTTTGGTGCTCGCTTGCAAAGTCCAAAAGTCAGCTCTGTGGCATTCAAGGAGATTTGTTTTTGAAGCCCTTCAGTTTCAGATGCCGTCTGATGGTTATGGGGCCTTAATTTGGCTCGAGGACCGTCCGGTGTCTTGATGGACAGCCAATTGGATCCTCTGGCTCAGTGCTGGTGAAATTTTTTTGGGTCTTCCACTTGACTTCTTCGTTCCATAACCCCCAGGATCATTTAAGAAATTCCAAATAACTGTCTTACTGTGTCCCACCTGAGCAGTGACGGCGCGCTGCGAGAGACTTTGCTTATGCAGTTCAACCCAACCACGTTCAAAAAGGGAACGTTTTTTTTACCTTTGCCATCAGAACGTCATGACAGTGTGACTACCTGACAGAAAATGACAATGAATCCACATTTTTGCACAGATTTGGCCTTTTAAATGCATGTGGTCCTAAACCTGTGATCAGCTGTAAAACAGCCTGTTTCAGTTTAAGTGTTGTTTTCAATTAACTTCATGTTAAACAAAAAAAAAAAAAGTTGTATCTCACTCCCATTTCTTCTTGTTGCATGTTGAAGCTCTACTTGGAAGCCACCATGCAAAATATAGCTTTTTGCAGTTTTTCAAGTGGTCTTGAACTTTTGATCGGGACAGTATAAATTCTGATGTCACAGGAAATAATTTATAATTTTCACAAAAAATAGTTTACAATTTCACTTTCAGCACCAGTTTAAGAACTATCAGGACCACTGGTTGCTAATTTGGCTGACAGAAAATACATCACAGCCATTAAATATGATGTTTTTCTGGGGGGGGGGGGTTTCGGTAATTAAAAAAAAAAAAAAAAATGCCAAAGATTTGTTGTTTCCAGGTTGGTGAATATAAACTCAATATCACAGCTTTAAACTGTTAATCATAAATAGACATTTATTGGCATTATTATCACTTTCTCCTAACTCCTAAACATAATGATTTGAGGTTACTGGAGAAAAAAAATCTGCAGCTTAGCTTAGCGATTGATGTCCATGAAAATTGAAAATCCAGTATCTCAAATTATTAGAAATTTTCATTTAAAGTTTGACTAACTTACAATTCAACAGTATTTATACTCAAAGGTAGTTCAGTGCACGCCGCCACGATTGGAAAGCCTGCTGACCTAACCGTTGTCCAGATGATGATGATGATCACTGACACCCTCCATGTGTAGGATGTTAGCAGAGTGCTGTGCTGAAGAATAAAAAGCAAGTGGACTGGAAGGGGAAAGTGTGGCAGGAACAAGCACAAGCTTCAACAACCACTGCTGCTCAGCGGCCCAAAGTCTTATTTTCAGATCAAAGCACATTTTTACTTTACTGAAAAACAAAGGTCCTGGAGTCTGGAGGAAGCATGCAGAGGCACAGAATCCAAGGTGTTTGAAGTCCAACGATTCATGCAGACTTTTCACTTCAAATTAATATTAATTCTACAGCACCAAATTACAACAACCGTTACCTCCAGGTGCTTTATATTGTAAGGTAAGGACTCTAAAATAATACAGAAAAAACCCTAAAGATCAGATTAGCCCCTGTGAGCAAGCACTTGGTGACAGTGGGAAGGAAAAACTCCCTTTGAACAGGAAGAAACCCTCCAGCAGAAGCAGCTTCAGGGAGGCCATCCGCCACAACCAGTTGAGCGTGAGAGGAGAAAGACAAGACAAAAGACACACTGTATAAGAGAGCCGGAGATTAATAATCACTCATTTCTGAGATATTGAGTTTCTGATTGTCATGAACTGCAAGCCATCATCCTAAAATTTAAAACAAAAAAGGCTTTAAGTTATTTCACTTTACATGTCATGAATATAGCATATATGAAAGCTTACATTTTTTGAGTTCAGTTACAAAAAATGAAAGGCTGAGATGCACACATTTAATCCTCCTTGTAGTAAAGTGGATGTGGACAGACTTTAAACAGGAAGTAGAAGCGCTTTAAACGGCATAGCAGCACATTCTCGTTTCACTCTCCTTTTCTAAGCTCACCTGTGGCGCCTTTAGTGAATCAAAGACTTGGCCTTATAAAGTTATAACTGAAACTCGATGCAGGCCAAGTCCTCTGCTGGTGGTTAAATTACAGCAGCTGTGTTTCAGATAATGTTTACAGGAAGCTTCTGTAACACAGTGTTCCACCTACAGCCAACGGCTTCTCACCAGAGATCAAGACTGTCGGAGTCTTATGTTAATTCCAGTGTCTCATTAGTTAGGACGGGGTGGGAATGGAACACTGTGTCTTCTCCAAGGACAGTGTAAGTGTGCGTGTGTGTGTGTGTGTGTGTGTGTCTGTGGGGGGCCGATTGAGGTTACTCTGAACTCACTACCCTTTATACACACAAACACACAGGACAAAGTGAGGGAAGCCAGACATACAGTTAGAGCGAGCCAGAAGAGAAAAAAGGTGGCTTGGAGAGGGAGGAAGAGGAGGATTCGCAGAACACGAGGATTTTGGGGGGGACGCCTTGGAAGACGGACATAGTAGGAGAGTTAACCGGAGGGACAATGGGCCTCTGCTTCACCTCTCAGTGACAAGCAGCCTTGGGATGGAAATTCTCCTGAAGTAGTAACATGTCCGCACTCTTAACACTAACCATTCGCACAAACAGCGTGTTCCCGAAATGGTCCATATTCCAGGTGAGGTGATATATGTGCACACAGGTGTCACTAATGTCCCGGCGCTACCTCGGCCTGCTCCGGTCCTGCATGCTGACACTGTCAAAACGTGCTCACGACCACTGCGGGGGTCGCTCAGCTCCCCGCCTGCGAGGCATCACCTGACAGCAGTGTTTATGAATTCGCTGCCAGAGGAGGCGTTGTGCTGTGTGGCCGTGTTTAAAGTGTGTATACCTTTGCGAGCATGATCCTGGTCTTTGCCACGTCAAGAGGAGTGGTAACAAACGCGGCTACTGCACCTACAGAAAGACACACAAACGCGCTCAGCAAAGTGCAAACATAAGAGGCCTTTACTCTATGCTCTCAGAACAGACTTTAAATATTAAAAATAAACCCATAAAAGAGACCAATTACTTAACCACAGTTACAGTAATGTATTAATTCAGCAATAAACACAAGAACTATTGGCCCTCAACTCCATTAAGTTCATAAAATCATAATATTCCAAGTCCCAGACCTTCCCCTGTTATTAGACCACAAAAACCAGAGACGCGCTTCTATTCCCAGCTCCCCCTTTTCTACAGCTTCGTCCAGCCTACGTCTTCCCCTGAGCTATAAACACACACACACACACACACACACACACACACACACACACACACACACACACACACTCTCAGGTGCGCACACACACACACACACACACACACACACACACACACACACACCTGATTACATGCACATGCATGCAAAAAAAGCCACGCAGACCCCCTAAAACACAAACTCACTCCTGTGAGCTTTATAGAGACGTTCCACCCCAAATTCCCTCCCAACACTCCAAGTTGGAAGCTGGATAGGCAGCAAAATCCAGAGCAGCCTCCAGTGAGCAGAAGAGTGTGTATAACTGAGAAAGTGTGTGTTACGTGTGTGTCGCCCTGACACAAACATAGCAACTGTTCTTGGTAAACATATCTATATGGGCCACTGAGGAGCAATGTGACTGTAAGTGAGGTGGAGCTGCAGGAAAACCGCGTTAGGGTTTATAGTTAATAGCTAATTATAATAGATGGCTTTTGTTCTCTGCTGTGGGAGGGGGATAAGTTCAAGAATAAAACAGTACAGCTGTCTTACTGTGGCATGCTTTACTACGATTATCCCAATAAATAATCTCACATGTCTAGCGCTCAATTAAATAATCTACACTTGGTAAGTGGGGGACGTGAAGGTGATGAAGGTGACTGATATGATGGTGTCTACACAGGCTGAAAGCTGCCATAAATCAACGCAGGATACTCATAGAGATATCTGGGATGATTAAACACGCATGTGTGAGCATTTCCAGCGTCAAGCAGATTATGTATGAGTGAGAGAGAGTGAGTGTGAAGCACAATGTTAGGGGAAGTGACTGAAACTTGAGGATCCCTCTTGGACAGCAGCTTGGTCACGTAGGGACGTGAACTTGACTCCTACCCTGGACCCACAGCACCCTGCCCCCCCCCCGATCCTTCACCCCACATTGTTCTCTCTACAAATACATATTCTCAAACCAATGACCAGGCCGCCTGACTGCTTAAATACTCAAATACTATTTGCATATAGTGAACAGTGCAGTCTTGATCCACTGATTTTGTATTATTTCATGAGGAACTAACGAGACAAGGAATTAGGTGCAGCAATTTGACATCATTCACAATTACTAGGTGCACAAGAGGTTCAAGCCAGCTCGTGCAGAAATCCTTCAATAAATCCAAACGGGGTTTCCTCTTTAAAATGACACCCACTGTCACACTTATTTCTTTTGAAGCATCTCTATCTACAATCTTCCTTTCACTGAGACCACAGCCCAGATGGGGGATGGCTAAAGGCCACGTCCTAATTCCTCAGGGTGCTGTGTTGTGTGTTTTCTCTAAATCAGCCACACTTCAATCTCAGCATCACGCCCCCAGATCACCTAACCTCCATCTTCCTGTCCTGTCTGGCATGCTGTAGCATTTTAAGAGTTATGGACTGAAAGCTGTAAAAGTCCAATAAATGCTCCACAGACTGAACTAAAGAATTGTTCTTTTGCTGAAATATGTCTTTACATTCAGGTTTTAATTTTTTTATCTCAAAAAATGCAAGTCTGGGTGGAAAGACAGATGTTGCTGCAGATTTTCTTCCATGAAGGACAGCGCTGCCGCTTTAAATGGCCCCGGGTCGAGATTTCTCTCTCTGGTTACACTGAAACTCCAAGTACGACAAGTCACTATAATAAATACAAATAATAAAAAAACAAAAACAAAACTCTTTAAAATGATAACAGAGAATCAGTTTTACAAACTCTATTTAGTATAAGCCTGTCGTGTTTCAAAGTTCCATTCATTCTCCAAATGAATTGAAACCCTACATTTAATTACAACTAGTACAAAAACAACATGCAGTAAAATGTATTACCTCCTGAAAATGTTTTGTTTAGTTTAATTTTGTAAAATCTTTGTAAAAAAACAAACCAAAAGAATTTCCCAGATCTGGGATAAAGAAGGTGCATCAGTACCTCATTTATTTTAAAAAAATATTCTCATTGTGAATTTTGTTCTAATAAACTGTCTAATCTCTTTCTCCCTTTCTTAAAGCAGCTTAGGCTCCAGTGCCCAGGATGTCACAGCGCTGCAGGGGCGCGTGGCCAGAAACGGCTCCATCTCATGCTTCCCGTCCTTTCCTCTGGTTGTCTGTATATCCCATTCACCCAGATCAAGACAGAACAATAAAGTCTGCAGTGGAATAATAGTCACTGGCTGAATGAGCCGACAACTGTGATAATGTGACTTTTCTGTTGTGGAAACAATCCAGGATCAATGCACCGAGGACTGCCAGTTTAATGCCATCTGTGTGTAAGAAAAATACTGGAATTCATTTTCTCCTTTGTCGTCTTTAGCAAATCCCGGGTGGAGGAGAGAATGGGATTTGTCTGCAGAGCTCACACTTGAGAAACCTTGCAATAATGTGGTTTTGGGTAAACTTGTGCTGCCCTCCTGCCCATCTATTCACCTATCCTATCTAACATCCATCTGTCCGTCCATCCATCCATCCCAACCCCTTTCCCTCCCCTCCTCCCTCTCTGCCTCTTTCCCAGCACAGCATATAATCCCCTGCACCTGCAACAGCTCCGCACACTGCTGACTGCCAAGAGTAGAGCGTGTGACCTTGCCTCGACGACCACAGAGTCTGGGAGAAAGAGAAGAAATGTCAAGAGAGAGGGTTGCAGATAGAGGAGGATGATGAAAGAGAAAGAAAATGGGGGAGAGAAACAAAGGGAGAGAGAGAGAGAGAGAGAGAGAGAGAGAGAGAGAGAGAGAGAGAGAGAGAGAGAGAGAGAGACTGCAGTTAGTGGGACTATCAGACACATTGAAAACATATTGTGAACCTTGGTCTGGTCTGGGGTTTAGAGCCCACAGCTGGGAAATGAGCTGTCCAGCTATTTTTGTGTTGCCTTTTCTCCCCAGTGATGTCATGCTACTTGTTTCCCAAGACATGGTGTGGGATAAGAGGGAGGCAAGAGAATATACTTAGTACAACAGGTCATCTCATACTCAGATATTCAGTATAATTATTAAAGGAGCTCAAAATCAATGTACTGGCCAAGCAGCTGTGTCAGTAAACCCCTACTTAAATGCTTCTTTACATATTTCATGGAACATCACAGTAGCAGATTTATTCTTAATGAAAAGATGGTTAAAAGTGTTTCACTATTGTCTTTGCATTTCTAAATTTTTTATTTAAAATCAAACCGCTTATAAAGGTATTACTAACATACTAACACATAGTGGGGAGGATTCTAAATCCTCTAATTAGCACTAAATACTAAGTACAGTTAAAGGTGCTACAGCTTACAGCCTCAAGCTGTACTTAGCATTTAGCGCTAATTAGCAAATGTTTAAGCTAACAGTATGTTATTAGCCTGCTATAACACTATATTTGCTAAATGGCTTTAAATCTCTACAAGTGTTCATCTCAGACAAATGACTTTATAATTTATTTATTTTGTGGCCAATATACTCATTAAAGCTTTCTTTATATAAATGTTCTGTTGAATATTGGTATGCAAAATGTTGATGTTGTTGGTAAAACTGTCCAAGGCACTAGCCTGCAGTTCTTTTTCAAATTTCAAAGTTGGTCAAGGAATTTTGGTGACTGTTACATCTCCACATATAGTGAATGTGAAATAAATGCAAAATACCCCACAAAAACAAAATAAAAAAAACAACAACTTAATTAGCTTGTTATTAAGGTGTGGCTAACTCATAACCAACAACAGCCTTAGCAACGCTATATGATACTAAACACAAAAGCTTGCATGAACTTCACAATATCCAACATAAACATTTAAAAAATTGAATTAAATTAAAATGAAAACCCAAGAGTATCTCATACAGTAAGAATGGATAAAAATCCCCCCCAAAAGAAGTGAGTGACTCACCAGCCAAAAAAAAAGCCTCAGTAGGTTTTTTTCTGAAGCAGATGTTAAAAAAAAATTGACCATGACAGTCCCTAAACTTTTCTTTTTTGTTGTTGTAGTATTTGCAAATACCAAAGAAATGTTGAATCTTTAACTTTGTTTTTTTTAAATATTTTCTCAGCAATGAGGAAACTTTTGCATGCAACAACAGTTTATGTAATTAAACTAGATTTTTTGTGTGATTGGAGCTATATTTATTCTTCCCCTTAAATATCCTAAAAGATTTGAAAATTATTTTAGCGTTGCAATTTTACAGACCGAACTACACCGACAAAAAACAGCCCAGAATTGTATCAATAGAATATATTGTTTATATTATATAGATAAGTGTATTTTCCAAGTACTTACTGTGTATAAAAACTCTCACAGTTAAGAGTGGCTACTGAGTGAAACCACCTGATGTTTCTGTTTTAAGATTAAAGTCAGGATGGGAAGGGAGGATGTCTCTTTTTCTGCCCTCACCAGTTTTAGCAAAAGGGCGAGGAGCCCAACTCTGCAAGGTTAGCCTGCGTATAAAATACATGTGGACAGCTGGGCTGCCTCGGGTGCTGCAAGTAATGATTACTTCTCAGTGAGAGCAATTGAGCAACAGCATGGAGTGATTACTAATATTTTCTTTGTCTATTCACTCCTTCACAAGTTGAATCGGTTTCATGTTAACTCACTCTACTCTTTTTCTCGCACACGTGTGCACAAAGACTGTGTGTGTGCATACACAAACAAGTAAACACAAAGAGAAAGATAGAAGGAAGAAGCAAAGGCAGAGGCCGTGGATGAGCTCAGGATATGTCATGTGTATTTCATTAGAGGGCAGATTAAAAAGGAGATTTTGTTTTCCACATCAAAGGCCTCAACGCTGGGGGATTCCTCTGTTTCTCTCCTATTCCGACTCTCCCCCTCCCTTACTGCCCTTTTCATGAATAAATAATAAGGAGTAAACCTGGGAAAACAAACTTTTTGACCTCTGAACCCTTGTGTCAGGATCAGCCTTTGCACCTGGTTGCCTTCCCACAGGAAAGTGGGCGGTGGGTCTGTGTATATCACGTGTATGTTAGAATTTCTGTCCTGGGAAACGTCCTTTAGTAAAGATGCAGTGCTGTGCAAAAGTCTTGAGCCATCCCTCTTAAAAAAAACAATATATCTTATTAGGAAAATGGTAAATAGGTGCAGGGGTTAAAACATGTGCAAAACAGAAGTGGAAACACAGTATATAGTGTAGCAAGCTTGAAAGTCAATATGACCACCTTTAATTTTCAACACAGCTTTCCTCTAATTTCCTTAAGTAGCCTTCAGGAATAGTTCATCAAGGCTGAAGGACATTTAAAGCTCTTTTTTTGGATGTTATATGCATTTTGTTCCGTCACCAACCCACGGGCCGGTCCGTGAGTCGTTTGGTACCGGCTACCAGTTGAGGCTCAGGTGTGAAATTTATGGTTTTCAGGGTTTTTATCATTAACTCGGCTTCCCTGGGTCTTTTCCCGTGTTGTAGTTGTGTGTCTTATTTTGAAAGAAATATTTACGCGTTACCATAGCGACCGGACAGCATTAAGGGGCAGACAGGAGGATGTTACTCTCAATGTTGTTGGCTCATTTCAGAAGGACGCTGCTAATAAAGTTACACAATTACACAGTGAATTTGCGTTTATTATTATATTTACAAAATACCAGTTTTTGTCTTGTTCATTTTATTTTGTTGTACAGTGGTCCCTCGCTATAACTTTTTTTTGGTGCAATTTTGCATGATTTCGTTTTTCTTACAGCGGATTGTGTTCCGTTTCCTGATTGGCTGTAGACCGTTGTCAATCACTGTCAATCTCGTGCCGTGTCTCCTTTACAGTACAGAATGCTTCAGCTTGTCAAATTTACATAAAGTGTCGATCGCTAGCAGTGTGACTCTGAAGTGTTACATTGTATGTTTGTAAGTTGTTTCCCCAACAAACACAACAATGTCGACGAAACATTTTGTACCCTAAGGCAACTGCGTGTGCCTTTGGTTTCATTCTATTACACTGGACTTATTTTTCTACGAAGGTTTGAACATTGAAAGCGTTTAAACAAGAGAGAAAAGTGTGAAAATGTTCCTGCCTTTCTGAGAAAAGTGTCTAAAGTGTGTAGTGAGGGGTTTTACAGCCTTAAAACCAATATTCCCTCTAAGCTGCGCGCGTGTGCAATTGCGCACTGCTGGCACGGTCTTTGCGCACAGAAAATCTGCTTTGCGCACAAAAAAAAATCCAACCTGAAATGACATTAAAATTAAAACTTTAACAATTCTGTTTTGCAGTGTTAGTCAGTGAGTGACTGGCTGCTCCCGTATGGGATTAGAACGATACCACCTTATCCCATAGTCCAGCCAATGATGCGATTCACATTCGTATATACGCAGCTAATCAACGTCATTGACAGGCTAGGACAACGTCCTTATGTGCCGACACCGGTGTTTCAGCTAGCAAAGCGGCGTGGCTGATATGGAGTGAAGCCACGTCAATGACAACGTGTACAACCATTGGAGTTGTGAGCAGGACAGACGGAACAATTGAAGGAAAAAGTGTGGACTTTATACCAGTTTTTAAATTGTGTTGATAGGCCACGTAAAACCAGAGTTATGATAAAAATATCTGCAATGTTTGGTTTCTTCCTGAATACTATCGTTGTTTATATTTACTGTTTTATAAGGAAAACGCTCAAAGCACTCTCCGCCTGTGAGCAAAAACAAAACCAAAAAAAAATCCCACCCTTTCCTATTGGTGGAAAAATGTATCATGTTGACCAATCAAAAAAATGATATGGCAACATGGCATTTAGTTGTTTAGGAAGGGGGAAGTTTTAGGAATGATGGCAGTGGTTTGAGATGTGAGAGATTTGCAACGTTTAGCGCAAATCTTGTGTAGTTAGCGTGTAGTGTAGTCAATAGTTTTGTTGTGTGTGTCAGAACAAGCTGATTGTTCTGTAAATAGTTTGACAATAGTTGTTTATTTAAAAAACTGCCTTGGCTGCATTTTTAGGTAAACAGCTGCAAAAACTTTGTTGTTTGCATAACTCGGTTACTTTTTCGAAGAACTATATAATTAATTACCCAACATTGGTCATTATAGTGCGATCCTCTATGCTGTTGCATGCTGGGGGAGCAGGCTGAGGGTCGCAGATGCCAACAGACTTAATAAACTAATCCGTAAGGCCAGCAATGTTGTGGGGATGGAGCTGGACTCCCTCAAGGTGGTGTCGGAGAGGCGGATGCTGTCCAAGATAAAGACAATGTTGGATAACACCTCCCACCCACTCCATGACATGCTGGTCAGTCACAGGAGCTCGTTCAGTGAGAGACTGAGATTACCGAAAAGCACCACTGAACGACACAGGAAATCATTTCCTGCCTGTGGCCATCTCCCTGTACAACGCATCCACTTAACACACTGTTTGCTGCTACAAGCTACACATGTTTCTTTTCCAGCTATTTATTTATGAGTGAATGTATGTATGTGTGTGTGTGTGTGTGTGTGTGTGTTTGTAGTGTATGTGTTGTATGTGTATGTTTATAATATATAGTATATATATATATATATAAGTTGATATATATATAATTATAATACTTATATATATATCGTATATATAGTATATATATATATATATATATATAGAACCTGATTGTTCTGTAAATAGTTTGAAATGTTTTATTTAAAAACCCTTGGCTGCATTTTAGGTAAACAGCTGCAAAAACTTTGTTGTTTGCATAACTCGTTACTTTTTGAAGAATAACTATATAATTAATTACCCAACATTGGTCATTATATACTGTGTTTTGCAGACAGAGAGTTACAGGACTCTCTCCAAGACCACAGACTCATAATGCAAGTCAGAGCTTTATTTAAAAAAAGAAAAAAAGAAAAAAAAAGTTGTTTATAAATTGGAGTTCAAGTTATTTTTAGTTCCAATAGTGTTAACATGCTGCACAGGTCAAGAACAAGATTCTTTTTTTAAATTTTCATTGTAAGTGGGCTAAAGCACTTTATTAAAAGTAGTCTAACATAAATGCTGTAATTTGATTATTTTAATAAACCATGTAACTTGGATGGATTCGATGCTGGCGTGACCACAGTGCACACGTCTAATGTTGCTCACAGCGGTCCAAGGGACTGCTCAGGGAGTTTGTGTGTTCGCTCCGACACATGAAAAATTAGAGGGAACATTGCTTAAAAAAATCTACAATAATTGTATAAATTAAAGCTGGCTACTTCGCGGATTTCACCTATCGCAGGTTATTTTTCAGAAAGTAACACCCACGATAAACGAGGGACCACTGTATTTACCTGCGACACCTTAAAGGCCGGTCCATGAAAACACTGTCTGCCATTAAACCAGTCCGTGGCTCAAAAAAAGATTGGGGACCGCTGAACTAGATGATTGGAGTCCCAAACCATGACAAAGCCTCCACCAAGCTTTATAGACAGCTGTAGAGACTCACTGCTGTAGCTTTCTCCTGACCTCCTCTGTCCACATATCTGATGATCGTCTGATTTCAGTTTCAGCAAACAGTAGATGGATCAACTAAATTTTCTTAACGACACGTTTTACACCACGCTGACATATATTAAGCTTTCAGCTAATAGCTCTTTTGGAACCTTCTTGTTGGAGCAAAAATACTTCTTTTTTGGCTGTGAAACTTATTTTTGTTATTTTTATAGACTGGTTCTTTGCTAAGTTATCTGTTATATGTAGACAACACTGGTTCATCCCTCGAAACTCAAGGAATGGAGAACTATTGCTCAAGACACTTTAAAGAACAGAATATTTTGCTCCTTGGAAGCAAAATATTAGTAAGGAGGAGAAATGACTCCAGATTTTTTTTTTTTTTTTTTTTAAACACAGTGCTATATCTCACTGGCTCGTTTTGAGCTTCCATCATGCCTTTGACTCCACATTCCCTGGATTTTTTGTGGGTCTAAGTTGGTGTTCAATCATAACCTAAAAGTGTTACACCCTCCTGTTTTGCTAATGTTATTTTTGAGGTCAGAACAGATGGAGCAAACTGTGCACTTTATTCTGCAGATGCTGTTGGGAAAACAACTGCGTGAAAACCAAAATATTGTGAAATTAATGTGTGAAAGAACCGTGAGAATTATTCACATGGATATTGAAATCTGGCGTGGAGAAGCTTTAAATCTCAGTGTAGTGACCGATTCCCTCATGATTTACTCCCTGACTACTTCTGTCTGCAAAATGCTGCCTCTGTGATATGCAGATATTTAGATGCTTGGCCATTTTACGACGAGACAACAGCACTGGGTCGTGGGTTTTCTTCATTTGGCTCCCTTTTCTTCCCCCCTTCTCTCTGACAGCTGTGCTGCCTCCGTGTGAAATTAAAAAGGAAAAAAAAAAAGCCATAACGCAGCACATTACTATGCCGTGAAGCAGATGGGAAACCATGCCACACACATGCACTGTCTCAAATTCCTTCGGTTTAGCATTTTTTAAAAGTATATCACATTATTTTTGTTGGAGAAATCCTCTTGAACATCCCTGTGGTCACTGAAGAAACAGCAGTAAAAACTTGCTTGCCTTTAAGCAATTGCTTTTTGGGTTTTTATTTTCATCTGTTTTCTTGGCTAGTCTGCCATTAGAACTCAAAAACGGCTCGAGAGGAGAGGAGAGGTCCAGATTCCAGCAGTTCATTTCTCCACCAACGGATGTGTCCAGATGGCCTGGAGAGAGGAGGCTTTTGACTGAGGGACAAAGAGACACTTGTGAACGACAAAATCTAACTCCCGCAAATGCACAGACACACAGAAAAGCATACACACACACAGCTGTGCGGCGTATTGTTCGCCTTCGCTCGGCCGTTAGCTCCCAACATTGATGGAATGTTTGACTGGCCGCCTCTCGCGCCCTTGAGACATGATGTCACTCCAACAAAACGCCATCTTTTCAGAGAGAAATGGCTTTTTATGTGTTCGGGGCCACGCTGTGAAACGCGAGTGGAGAGCAGCGACATGGGGCAGAAAAAGACTTTAAGGACGAGAGGAAGCAAGAAAAAGCTAGAGGAAGAGCAACACGGCTATTCTCAGAGCTCGTGATAAATCGAAAGGCTGGTTTGATGACAGTCGTGACAAGCCATTAAACCGGGGTGCAAAGTCCCATTTTGGCCTGCCACAATGATACAGGAGAATGCAGAGGGTGAGCGTGCTGTAAATGTGTGAGTTTTGACTGTACAGTGGATTTATCCTCGACATAATTTTCACTGGAAATGATGCTACTCTGATAAAATAGATTAGCAATAAAGATGCAAAAGGGAATAAAATAAGAGATAGATGCATACCTTTAAATACTCCCAAAGCGGAAACTGAACCAGAGAGAATGGGATCTGAAAAAAAGAAAGAAGGCAGAGTGTTAATCATCGTCATTATGTCAGCATTAGTTTTTCATTTTCTTTAGGTTCAGGTTTCATCTTTAACCTCTAATCTCTTACACTTGTCATTCCTGCCACCTTTCTCTATTTCCTCTAACTCGTCTGACTGCTCCCTTGTTCCTTCTCAGTGCTGATGATTAATGAATGAGACGGGCTGTGGTCTGGCAGTCCTGACAGACGGATGGATGGATGTATAGATGGAGCAAAGTTGGAGAGAGGAATAGAGGGATGAGGGGATGGTGGGAGTGTGTGTGTTGCTGCTGGAAAGACTAAATCGGCTCAGGCAGGAAGTTACAGTGGAAAGAAATCGATGGCAGTGCCAAGGCGAGGTGCAAATGACACGCAGTCAGACCACACACACATTCTCTCTCTTTCTCTCACACACACAGACATAGGAACGAGTATACTTTCTCCATTTGTGTACTAAGCAAACAAATAGAGAAAACACACAGGCGCACATATCCTGTCATCCTGCAGTGGACGAAGACAGGCAAGACAGGAAAAAACAAAAGCAAAGGAAGAAATAAATAAAGTGACAGTGAGTTGTGTCATCAGGCTTTGATCACACATACAACAGGATCGTTCATCCATCCGAACCACCCCCTCCAACATGTTCCATCAGACCATGTTAGCACATTGGCAAAAACTGAGTCAGCCAAAGCACAAAGACAATGCACCAAGTGTGTTTACGCCACCTAATGAGCTTAGTCCAAATGCACTGACCTCATATAAACACTCATTCTGAAGTAGATTCAATTAAAGGGCATCTGCTTTTTAAGAGTTTAATATAAGACTTTTAAAGATCTTCATAGAGGCCCAGAGTTTTATTAAAGTAAAGACATAAAGCTGTCAAATTGAGTGCAAATTCAACTAAGTGGAGGAAATTGAGTTTCTGAGATGAGCTGATAAAAGACCTAATGCAAGTATGACAAATAAAAAACATGAGATAGTATTACGAAGGGGCAGAGGGTGGAGGTGGGAGGGGTACAGATTCAAACTTAAAGAAACACCTACTGAATAAAACCAGACATCCATGACAGGTTAGAGCTGTTACTGATACATTTGTACTCCACTGCTTGTAAAATGTTTGTAAGTAATCCCCATAACACTGTCCCACCCACACAGGCACTGCAGCTACACCTGAACTCACCTAGACCCTTAGCTTTAAATGCAATTCTGCATTAGTGTAGTTACTACTCAAGCGTTAAAGCTGAAAATACTGCAGGCGGCTTTTGACTTTTCCTTGATAAATGGGCCTGGCATGTGCAAGGTCAGAAATCTTCACCCATCTGGTCTATCTGTGCAGACAGAAGCAAATTCTCTCACTCCTCTAAGATTATCTAAAAAAACATTTTTGGGACATACTGGAAGCCTGGTATCCAGCCCCCAGAAAGTGGAGTGTTATAAAAGTGCACCTGTGTTTTATTACCACCCTGATGAGTTCTGCTATTCCAGGCTGGGAAAAGAGACGGACAGAGAGAGAAAGAGGGAGTACAGGGATGTTGGAGGGGTAATGGGTACTGCTGCTGAGTGCAAGGGGAACATGTTGTACTGATATGAGTCAAAGTAAACTGAGAGTCAACCTAAGTAAACACATCCTGACAGGTTTTATATTTATATTTTATACTAGAATTCTTGTGCACATAAGTGCAAAACTACTGTAACGTCACCTTAAATAAGGCACAGATAGATGCAGCACAGATAAAGCGACAGTAACTTCTGTTTACAAACTGAAAAAAGCATCAATTATCAAAAACTTGTTTAAATTTAGCCTTAAATGCAACTGACAGGGTTTTTTGTTTTTTACTACATATTAATTTACAAAATTTCATCCAAAAAATACAAAATCTTTGGTTGCAGTGAGTGCAAAGACAGAGAGAGCATGCGAGACAAAGACAGATGGCTTCAGCAGAGGATCTGGAAAGAATGATCCACCGGTGATTTATGGCTCGCTTTGACACTCCTGGCACACTGAGCTGGAGAGGAGTGCTCGTTTTTTTGAGCGCGTTGCCCGGCAAAGATGAAACATCTGAAAAACCACATGAGGTCTGATTAAAATCGATGAGTAATTTCTCATTAAACCGAGGCAAACCGAGGAACTGGGAAGACGTACCAACCTGACTCCATGTGACATTTAGAAGAATGTCTGCTTGAGTTACAAAATCAAGAACGTAGGCTGGAGGGGACATGAGCTAACGGCTATAGAGTTGTTTCTACAGCATTAATGTGAGGTTCTGCACTTCTACTGTAATGCTTTAACCTGAGGTTGCTGTAGTGTCAGAAGGAGATCAAAGAAGGAATAAATTTTGAAGATAGGTAGAGACAGAATGGGAAGCTGAAAACAACAAAGGGGACTGAACATGTGTTTCTGCTTTCCCTTCTGCTTCTTAGACCATGGAGAAGAACTAAAAACACAAGCAAGACTTTGGGGGGGGAAAAAAAAAAAAGCCCAGAAGAGAAATTTATTTTCCATTGTTGGGAAGAGACAGACATGCACATCATGTCACACCTGACTGACTCGCTGCTACTCACAAACTAAGTGAAAGTTCAAGCCACTGCTGAGTGGGACAAACTGTTTTAAACTCTGTCCCGTATAAAGATCAAGTCTGATGACCTCCTCTGTACCCTTAATGATGAGTTTTGACCCTCGATATAAATCAATGCAGACGCAGTTGGACGTCTTTCTTGAGAGGAACCCTCACTAACAAGCACATCCAGTCAGAAACAGTTTCAAGGGTTACAGAGTTGAAACCTGCACCATGTTATAGAAAGGGTGAGAGAAACCTAACATATTCTATAAGTCACAATTTCACCAACAACACTGTAATCAGATAAAGAGGGGCCTAAAATATTCAACTGCTATCCTCTGGAAAACATGACTATGACTATTCTTCAGGGATAATGTGTGACTGTTATTATTCAGTTGGATCATTGTGCAAGTTGGGAAGTACTATTTTTACAGATTTTTTTTTGGAGCGTTAGCCCTCTGCAGTGCTGGTGGAAAAACTAAAAAAAAAAGCCCAACTGGCTTTTATAAGTGAAGGAGGGACAGTAAAAGTAGCATAAAAACAAAATTACCATTAATCCCTCATGAAAATATCTTACACTTAACTCTCGATATTGAACAAATGACTGTTTAGTGTACTGTTCTGTGCACTGCTGCTTTTAAATGGTTGCAGGTGCTAAATTTCATGGCACACTTTACCAAAGTGTTTGCCAGTGGGCAAAAACAGCATGGTTTTGATATTCTGAGTTACAGACGCGTCTGCCACAAGTGTTGAGGGCACATTTAGACCTCAGCTATGTCATGCTAGACTAACACAAGGCCATGCAGGCATCCCGGGTTATTCTAAGGCTGGTTAGGATGAAGGCAGCCAAGCTGCATAAACTCCATACTCCCCCACGGTGCTAACTGCTCACTCTGTCTCATCCCACCGCCTCATATAATGCCTCAGCTACCATGGGCTATTCAGCTCTGTGAAGCCAAGTTAACGTGTGCATGTGTGTGGAAGGTCCAGGGCTGTTGTGATTATCCTAATAAACATGACTTAATGAATTCCTTTAAATGGAAAAGAAAGTTAGGATTATCAGGCCACACAGGCGAGGAGAATCGCATCATTATCTCATCAATTAAGGTTCAATTTAAGAGCTAATTAAAAAGAGGACGTTTCTATCTTGTTTCCTTGTGTTTTTTATTTGACATGGAAGTCACAAATGAGTAGCTGTTTGTTAAAGTGGGATAAAATACTTCCCTGAAGGCTGAGAACTAGTATTGTTTATGTCCACTGAAAAAGACTGAGGTTTTTCTCTGCTTGCCAACATTTTACTAGCTCAACCCCAGCTTGAGCCAATCAGTAGACTTCTATGGCTGCACGGGCTACAACCGAATCATAACCATGGAGACGAACACACCCAGTGCAGTAACCACGTTGTTGAGGTCTACAAACATGAACTATCACTCGACATTAAAATAAGGACACACATGCTTAAGGAGCAGAGGCAAATAATTTAAATATTTTAACCAGAAAACAGATCATAAACCTTCCAGTTTATGATGTATTTCCAGCTCTTGCTGCACTGCCCAACAGTATCTACTCATCTGTACATTCAAGTAATCCTCCAGGGACAGGACTCCACGCCTGACAAACAAACAGGGCCCTCACTCAGACCCGTTATCCTGCATATGGATGCCTTAGTTGTTGTTTTTTTGTATGAATACATTGGCGTGCTTAACCATATTCTTGCTTATGTGTGCGCATGTGTGTATGAAGAGCAGCGTTCTGTTTTCTCGCTGATGTATTTCGCAAATGATCAAAAGTGACAGTGCCACTTGCTGTGACTGTCAGGTACGATATAATGCAAATATGGAGATTGCGTCTGCTGTGTCATTCTGCTGACAGTGCTGGTGTTTTTTGAGTGTGTACGTGTGTGTGTGTGTCCTTGCCAACTGTATTAGTCCTAACGTTATTAGTATTCAGAGAGGCTCCGGGCTGTCACAGGTCCTTAGGCACTCAGCGGAGGGCAGGAAAAACACATGTCAAAATATATTCACATTGAGCCTGATTGCAGGCAGGCCAGTTGGCTGCAATTTGACAAATGACTTTTAATAGGTCATACTGCAGCCTCTGCATACTGATGAGCATTTAGCAGTAGAGAAATAGTAAGTGAGATGGATACTGAGACAAGCAGACACATGTATAGATGGCCAAACCAAGCGATGAAAGTCATGGTTTATTTTTTCCAAAAGCTTTCTTTCCAAAAAAAGTATGTCAGCCCTCAACGTTGAATGCTTTCCTACTTTAGAAACTGGGCTACTGGGCTACTGTGGGTTAGCACTCCAAAATCAACTTTACTTGAGGCCAAACTCAAATCTAAAAATTTGCCTTGATACGTCTGACATTTAGCATAATACACTAGCCAATGAGATTAGCGTGTGAATTTGATGTACTTTGATT